GCCCCCCCCCCCCAGATGGACGCCAGGCTGAGCGTGCAAACAGGGCAAGCTGAAGCGTATCAAGCCGTTCTATCTGTCGCAGTTTGAGAATCTCAAGTCCATCGTTCCGCCCGAGGTGCGTTCTTGTACGTCGACTCTGACCAGTGCTTGACCTTGTTGCAGGAGCACGGAAACATCAAGATGACAATGTGTGCGCCTGAATGGTTCCACCTCCGTCACGGCCCATACGCTTTCTCTAAGGAGGCTTATGCTACTGACGAGGAGTACTTCGCCGATGTCGCCGTTGCCTATCAGGAAGAGATTCAGGCTTTGTACAAGATCGGGTGCCGGAACATACAATTCGACGATCCGTTGTTGGCGTACTTCTGCGCCGAATCGATGATCAAGGGTATGGAAGAGAAGGGCGTCGACCATGAGCGCTTGCTGCAGCTCTACATTGACACATACAACAACTGTCTCAAGAATCGGCCCGCGGACATGAATGTAGGCATACACTTGTGCAGGGGTAACTTCAAGTGAGTCGAAGGCGCTCAGCACTTCTTTCGGCGTAAGCACTGACTCTGTGATAGGGACGGTATGCACTTCAGCGAGGGTGGCTACGATCGCATCGCCGTGAAATTGTTCAACGAGCTCAACGTCGACTGCTACTACGTACGTCACCTTTGTCTTCAAGAGCGCCCGGTCTTATCAGCATGCAGCTCGAATACGACACAGAGCGCGCGGGGACCTTCGAACCATTGAAGCATCTTCCGAAGCACAAGATGCTTGTCCTGGGATTGATCACTTCCAAGTTCCCACAGCTGGAGGATCCGGAGGCCATCAAGCAACGCGTGCATGCTGCCGCGGAGATCATCTCGCAAGGCACAGAACCGCGTTCGAAGGACGAGGCACTGAACCAGTGAGTGTATGCATCGTCGTAATCTAGGCATCACTGAGTCTCGCTTTCAGGTTGTGCATCTCGCCGCAGTGCGGCTTTGCGTCTCACTCAGAGGGCAACAACGTGACCGAGCAGGATATGGCTAGAAAGTTGAGGCTTGTTGTGCAGATCGCGAAGGACATTTGGCCGGAGCAGGCGTGAACCGAGCATGTAGTAACACTCAAATGAATGGATCAACGTGGGTATATTCGTGATGTACATGTCAGAACCCCGAACGCTCGTTGAAAGTCAACAGCTCAAAAGCACTGTCTGGTTCCCGATCGTCTGCAGCTGCGGCTCCTCTTGATGTTCGCCCCTCTTCGTCGGGCATGGGATAGTGTGTAGTCTCCTGTCCTGCTGGAGTAGTGCGGAACTGGAGGGTGGTGTCGTGCTCGAATACTTCATCCTGTTGCTTGTAGTAGGACTCCCGAAGGGAGATCATGAGCCGATTGGCGAACACTGAGGAAAGCGCGAAGCCGAATCCGGTCCCGAGTTCATTGAGCGAGGACTATATGTCAAGCATCAGCTCATATGTTTGACGACCAACTCAGGCAGCGGGGCTCACGATGTTCCAAGACCAGAGCAACAGATTACCGAGGTACAACCAGAACAGGCTGTGCATGCCGGTCATTAAAGGGTTCGGGAGGGAAGGGAGGGAAGGGACGTACTAAAGAAAGTAATAAACGGAGTCCTTTGTCAAAACGGAAAGCAGTCCGGACTTGGTCGCCATTCGGCGGTTAGTCCAGGCTTTGATGATGCTGAGTGTGAGCAGCGTGACCTCAGTAATCAAGATGACGAGGTAGTAGAATACAATCCAGGGCTTGCCCGGCGTGTCGCCATCGGCGCATATGAAAACACCAGGCGCAGCCTGATTGCTACCTGAGGGTAATGTGTAAGTATGCTGAGTGTTGAATGCTAGTGATGGGGAGACAAAAGAGGGTCTTACCGTAACCGTTAGGAATCCCGAGTAGTATACCCATGCCGGTGGACTCGCCAATGACCAGGAAGAGAAGTATACAAATGACCAGCCGATTGCTCCTGTACATGGCGTACAGACGCATCTCGAGAATAACTGTACACGTCGGTCACCAGATGCATAAGAAAATAAGTTCATCGCTTACGATGTGTTGTGATGACCTGTAGTGCTGCACCAGTATTCTGCCACTTGAAGAATCGCGCGCCTAGGGATGGGGTAAGTAGAGAAGTCGAAGTCATACACGATGATCTAGAGGCCTCACAGCTGTGCAACCCCATAGGTCAGTGTATGCAATAGGTCGACAGTATTAGAAACTGCTCACTACTATTGAGTGGAGCACAAGCAGGCAAGTTGTAGAGATGTCAGTCAGCCATGTTTCACCATAGATAGCATTGCATGTACCTCTTCACTCGGATGGGGATTCAAGAATACTAGTGCGCCATCAGCAAGCCGACAAAAGTGGCGCAAGTTGTAACGCATACCTGACGCGTTCCCGCTGACGGTGGGAGGACATTTCAATGACGGGTCCACTAAGTATGGGGGTCATACGTACACAACGAAGGCTATGGTGAAGTACCGGCTCTAAGAAGTCGTATTCATAAGCTCAAGATATTCCAACAAAACGATGAATACGCACCCAGAGGAATATGACCTTGCCAACGGACCACTTTCTCCGCTACCGTTCCCTGAGGTCAAGAGGCGCATCGACGGCAAAAGAATGATGTACTCACCCAAAAGTAATCAACCTTCCGACAGTCAGTGAATGCACGGTACCGAAGGTTCACATAGCGTACCTCCTTGTCAAGTTGCAAACCTGTTGTAACGTGAGCGCGGGCGAAGAACGACGGGATGCATAGAACTTGATGCGCACCATACTCATAGACCACGACGCACGCCGCTGCCACTAGCCTCTTTCTCAGCAATGAAGCGCCGATCCTGCATTTAGTCACTTACATTGACAACAGCGCTCGGCATGCGCCCGCTGCCAAGCCACGATATCGATGGGCCCAGTAGACATTGCGTTAGGTCCTCAGGACAGGAGAACGCAAAGGTACCATGGAGGGAGCGGGAAGCTCGTATAGTCGCAGGCGCGTTCAGAATGAGAGGGCGGCAAACCCGTTGCCGATAGGGCTACGGCGCCGTTATGTAGTCTGCGAAGTCATGGCCTCTGCAGTGGAACATTGCGCCCCGTGTCGGGGCATCGCCGAGCGGGAGGTAAACCCGGTTACGAGTACATAATTAGAGAGTGATGGTGATACCAGACACTCTTCTCGTAACATTCTCACCCGGGCCATGCAACGGATTGCTAGAATTGAACGGGCGTTTGCCTATTGCAGACCCTGCGCATACCTTAGGCGCGAATCACGCAGGTACATCTTGATCGCCTGTTCTGATATCCGACGTCAGGCTGAGGTATGATAACCATCCAAAGGCTCGATAGAACCCCAGAAGAAGATCCGGGCTAGAAGCGTAGACCAGAGTGTGCTTAGTAGCTCTCTCCCGGCTCCGGCGGGTTGAGGACACCGCCGCTGACGCCGACAAGGTTCGCGAAGCCTGCATGCAGGCTGCAGATATCGTCTCAAGTTCGTGCTGCAGGGCTTCTAAGGGACATGCGAGAGGGCCTGAGAGGGCTCTGTGACTAAAAGAAGAGTGATGCACTATGCACATCAGGGGACCGAAGGAAAAGACGTGCGCCGGTCGACACGAGCAACGCGTTAGAGCCGGAAGATGCCGAGGGCGCGTTGATTCGGGTGCCACGGCGGGCAAGCATGTGCACTCAAACGCCCATCTGTAGAGAAGATAGAATTGCCCTTGACTCCAAGGGGCACTTGACAGGCAATACTTTCTAGCGCATAACTTGGCGTGTACGCAGCGAAGGCGCCTGAAGATGTGTGAGAAGGCTTGCCCATCCCCCAGCTTCGCTGGCCTCTCTCTTGCGCCACGCACCGTCAGACGGACTCGGAGATGTCCCCCTCCCGGCCCCCTGCTTCTCTCGACTCCAGCATCGAGAAAGAGGCTGTCGACGTGAGCTCGGCCCAGAACGTCCTTAGTGCGGACGAGGCTGCGTTGCGGCAGCTAGGCTACAAGCAAGAGTTGCGTCGGACATTCACGCCTCTTGAGCTCTTCGGCGTCGGTAGGTTATAACCGGTCTGCTAAGTTAGGCGCTGGCGATCATGACATGTCTACGTAGGTTTCAGCATCGTTGGCCTGTTCCCTTCCGTCGCGTGCGTCCCCATGTCACGTCTTGAGTCGACTGGTACTAAAATTAACCTTCTAGGTCTGTACTTGTGTATGCCATACCCAATGGAGGACCCTCTGCCATGATTTGGGGCGTACGTCTCCCTTCAAACATGGCAAAGATGCTGTGCTGACATGCATAGTGGGCCGTATGCACATTCGGACTTGTGGCGATCTCCGCTGCAGTCGCGGAACTCGGTTCGGCTATGCCAACCTCCGGCGGCTTATACTACTGGACTTACTCATTCTCATCTCCGCGGTACAAGACGATACTGTCATGGATGGTTGGATGTTCGTCAGCGTGCCATCGCTAGCAGGGTACTATGGACTGAAAAGGCGTCTTCAGACTCGAATACAATCGGCAATCTAGCTAGTGTGGCGTCCGTGGACTGGGGGTTCTCCTTGCAGCTGGTACGCAGCGCGCCTATACGGCTGAAACCATTACTCACAAGACGTGTAGATGGCGGCAATTACCATTGGCACGAACGGCGCCTTCGTGCCGACGACTGCGCAGACCTATGGCGTCTACGTCGCAACACTACTCGTGCATGGACTAATTTCGGGCGTGGCGGTCAAATACATCGCCCGACTGCAGCCACTCATCGTATCGCTCAATATACTGTACGCTCGGCATGATGATACAATACACACGTTGCTCATATACCCCGCTAGACTCGCGCTTGCTATCATCATCGCTCTCCCGGCTGCGACACCGAAGGAGTTCAAGAACACGGCAGGCTACGCATTCGGCAACTTCGATAACTGTACGTTCGTCAACTTGCAGCGCCATGTTCTCTTCTGATATGAGTAGTATCGGGCTGGCCGAATGGCTTCGCGTTCTTCCTCAGCTTCCTTGCGCCACTATGGGCCGTTGGGGCGTTCGACTCTTCCACTCATCTCAGTGAAGAGGCCAAGAACGCCAATGTCGCAGTGCCATGGGCTCTGATGTGCTCGACCAGCATCGCGAGCGTTCTGGGATGGGGTACGTCAGTACATACTCTCAGCTTATCCAGTCTCTCATTCAAGATGGCGTTTAGGCATTATCATCTCGATCGTGTTCAACATGGGAACAGATCTTGAAGCCATCCTCGCGAGTGACATTGGACAACCAATGGCTGTTGTGCGTCTCCATTCCCCACTCCCGATTGACGTTTGATGGCCGCTCATACTCCGCATAGATTCTGTTCAATAGCTTCGGACGTGGCGGCACCCTCGCCGTGTGGATTGTAGTGGTCATCGTACAGTGAGTTTGTCTTGCTTTCTCAACCATGGTGGAATGACTAACCCGCTCGCTTTAGGTTCACTATGGGTGTGGATATAGTGAGTACTCCACCAACATTGCTATGGTCTGTTCACCTTGAACTGACACATGTACCTAGACTGTTGTCTGCTCTCGACAGCTGTACGCCTTCTCCCGTGACGGAGCGCTCCCATTCTCCAGCATCCTCCGCCGAGTGAACGATAAGACGCGCACGCCAATTTACGCCGTTTGGTTCGCGATCTTCATCAGCGCTCTGCTCGGGCTTCTCGCCTTCGCCGGTGCCAACGCCATTGGTGCCATCTTCTCGTTGGTCATCGCCGGCCAATACACTGCGTACTCGATCCCCATCTGCGCGCGGTTCCTTGGACAGAACTCGTTCAAGCCTGGTCCATTCACCCTTGGACGTGCGGTAAGCTTCAATCTAACCAGATCTACTTGAGAATAGATGCTGAAACTGATTGACAGGGCGCTCCCGTGGCCGCCAGCGCTGTCATCTTCATGGCATTTATGCTTATCGTCTTCCTCTTCCCCGCCAGCCCCAACCCTACGCCCGCCACTATGAACTACACTGTTGTAGTTTGGGGAGGAACCCTCGCGCTCGCTGCAGCGTACTTCTACCTTCCGAAGTACGGCGGCCGTCACTGGTTCACGGGCCCAGTTTCTACCGTTACGGAGATCGAGAGGGGTACCAGCAGCATTGAAAAAGATAGGACGGAAAAGGTCAGCGACTCATGATGAGGCTTTGCTTACTACAGACAGCTAGGGGTTGTAGAGCTGTATGTGCATATTATCTGGTTTAGTGTGGGGCGCCGGATTTCTACTGCGCGTTTTCTCTCTGGATGTCATCCCACAAGCGATCTAGTCGAGTTCGGAAACTCAGCGCGGCGGGAGAGTAGTCGAAGATCTTGTAAACGCGAATAGGACCGTGTCGAGTTCAACTAGAACGTAGTCAACCCGAAGCGCGCCAACCCTAACCCTAAGAGCAGGGCGTCACTCTCGGCCGGCCGACATCGCCGAACGTGTTCTTCCTGGACCATCATGAGCTTGTCGATCGCGCCCGAAAATATAGTTGTCATCCATTAACTCGTTGCTGCCCGCAGGCCATTCTCGAATATTGAACTGTGGGCTACAGACGCCGTGCGTGTGAGATGCACCGTGCGTGCAGCGGTTCACGGGGTCTACCATCTCCACCATGTCTGCAGACGTTATATCCGTTCATGTGCCACACATTCCGTCTACTCCCGCGTCCGTCCGAAGGTCGGACAGCATCTTCAATGGAACAGGCCCCAGGGGTTCTCAGTACCGATCGATACTTATCTGATAGCCTTTCGCTCGCCGTGACCACCTTCTTCCCCCACACCTACCATGTCCTCGTCCGCTCAGCCTCGCAGATTCCGCGCCGAACACCTCGGCTCACTCATCCGCCCGGATTCCCTTCTACAACTGCGCGCTGGGTTATGGTCGGGGAAGACAGATCGCGAAGAGCTGGCGAAGGCTGAGAAGGAGGCGATCAGAGATATTGTGAAGATGCAGAGGGATGTGGGATTGAAGGTCGTATCGGACGGCGAGTTCACGAGGTTCTGCGACTCTATCGTCGATTGTGAGACGTGTTGCTGATACTGGGGTTGGACAGACTTCTGTTCTTTGACGGCGTGTTCAACAAGCTCGAGGGCATGCAGTCTGTCAAGGGTACGTGCGTGTTCGAGTCATGGGTCGCTGCGTACACAAAACTCACAACCGTGTTCAGTTCCTTTGGACCAGTATATGGTCAGTATCTGCGAATGCCCTACGTATCAGCCACAGCAAGGTCTGACATGGTCATACACCACTCTGTAGGAGTACCTTGGCAGCAGCAAGGCTATACGCGACCGCTCACAGGACGGCACGTTCCCATCGTACATCTGCACAGTCAGTACCACCACATGTTATCAACGTCTCAGGGCACAAGTGGCATTCACTGAAGGACGTCGTGTAGGGCAAGTTGAAGCGCACTCAGCCATTCTACATCCCGGAGTTCGAGTACCTCAAGAGCGTGGTCCCTCCCGAGGTCGGTCGAATCTGCTCGTTTGCAGAGTCCACATCCTCTGATGCCGCATCTCCAGGATCATGCAAATATCAAGATCACGATGTGCTCGCCTGAGTGGTTCCACATCCGCCACGGACCATACACCTACAGCAAAGACGCATATAGCAGCGACGGTAAAACCCTCGCCCTCCCTTTCTCAGTTCGCTCTGGCTCACCGAACGGCGCCACGCGTAGAGGAGTACTTCGCCGACATCGTCACGGCCTACCGTGCAGAGCTCGCCGAGCTCTACGACGCTGGCTGCAGAAACATTCAATTTGACGACCCGCAACTCATCGAGTTCTGTTCCTCCGATTCGCTCGATGGCATGCGCAAGCACGGGATGGATCCCGACAAACTCCTGCAGCTGTACATCGACACGTATAACCGTATCCTGGAGGGACGACCGGAGGGTTTGAGAGTTGGGATACATATTTGTCGGGGCAACTTCAAGGAGAGCGAGGAACATTATACGACGAAGGGAAGCTACGACCGGATCGCGATCAAGCTGTTCAACGAGCTCAACGTCGACCGTTATTATGTGCGTTTCCCTTGTTGTTATCTCCGACTTTGTGGCTTCAGCGCTTATCAAACTACAGCTCGAATACGAGACCGGACGCGCGGGCACGTTCGAGCCTCTCAAGCATCTCCCGAAGCACAAAGACGTCGTGCTCGGCTTGGTATCGACAAAGACTGCCGTGCTGGAAGATCCGGAGGAGTTGAAGGCGCGCGTCAATACAGCTGCAGAGCTGATTGCCAGTGGCGGAGATGGGAGGTCCAAAGAGGAAGCATTGAACCAGTACGTATCCGCTATCATTCGAGATGGTTGCACTGTGGCTAACAGATCGTGCCAGGATCTGCATATCACCGCAGTGCGGGTTCGCGTCAAAGGACGACGCGCACAAGTTCACGCATGAGGACATGGTGAAGAAGCTAAAGCTCGTCGTGGACACTGCGAATGCGATATGGCCGGGTGAAGCATGAGAGAACGCTATGTTCAAAAAGCCTCATAGGCGATAATATAGGATACAGCTTGTAAACTAGCGGATACATATGCTATAAAAGCAGGGACATGACGTGGGATGTCGCATGATGGATTCGGCTCGGTTTCTCCGCCGCGCGGAGAAAGGCCGAAATGGATGGCAAGTTGGTGCTGGTATGGCTGCGCAGCAGTGGCATAGTCCGGAATCGTCGTAGAGGCAAGTAGGAAGGATGTAAGGTCCATAGCTTGACGCTTATTTCCTGGCGTTGTCCGCAAGAAGATCGCCATTCTTACATGCGACGCTGAGATGACGGTCAGTAAGGAGCATGACGGAGATAAATGGTGGCGCACATCTTGATCTTGCCCGCATGCACGATATCGTTGCTCTCCATCTTGAATTGTGCGTCTTTGACTATGAATGTCCATACGTCGTCACATAGCCGGTATGTGTGCAGGTGACCCTTGAGGTTGGTCTTGTTCTTGACCTGCTTGACGAGTGTGTCCGCAAGACTCTTATCAAACTACACTTTCATGAACATCTTATCATTCTGCCACGGCAAGCGACACACACCTGTTGCAAGATCTTCATAGCCAACTGAGGCGTGATAGCGCCACTCGTGATGAGTTCGTCGAGCGAGTCGGTCAAAGCCATGCCGATGCTACAAATATCATAGTTCGCGGTTCACTGACCGCCCGACATCTTTACGATGAGAGGGGAGTCAGACGTACGAGGAGCCGCGGTAGAACTCATAGTACGCCGATGCCATTTCGAGACCTTTGGGTATGGGGTGGTGGCGGCGGGACGCAACGCGCGAACGGGCATCGCGTCACACTCGCTTTATAGGGTTCCACGGGTTTGTCACCCTGGGCCACGATGGCGTTACTCCATTCAATTTCTCTGAGGCCTTCGGTGCTTCGTGAGACGGATCTACCATGTATATATGCTGCGTATGCTTACGAATGCGTGAGGAGGTGTGCAGCCGGAGGTGTTGCCGGAACTCGAGTCGAATTTACTCGGGACGTCTGGTCGGGACGGTGGATTGAGTCATGACACGCGCTGCCGACGGGCAAGATAAACTTGAGCTCGAATCTCTCCTGTCCGCAACCAGTGACCACCACCGTCTTTCTCCCGCTCGTGCATGTCTTCGTCCCCTTTACCAGCATCCGCATCAACTACATCTAACAACAACACTGCTACTAGTACTTCGAATAACTCAGGGAGACCTAGACAACGACGTAATAATGATCGCGAACGCCGACCTCCGGACGGAGGAATTGGCGTAGATGGCTCACAGGAGCGTCGAAATAATAACCAACAACGGCGCAGGAGACCGCCGCGCGACGACTCGCAGGGCGCGAATGCCGGCGGCTCCGAGCAGAAGCGCGACGGCGGGGAAGTGCGCAAGCGACGCCCGCCGCGAGAGCGCGATGCGCCGCCGCACGAGGGCGATCCGAAGCCGCGATCGCAGAATAAGCGCGGGGCGCGCTTCAACGGCGGGCTGACGTCTGACGCCGACAAGGGCAAAGGGAAGGCCAGGGAACCTGTCCAGCGCTACGCCCAGCCGGCCAGGGAGGACGACGATCTGGCGACTCGTCTCACACGCGCTCTGTCGACCGCCCCGTACCCTGACTGCCCAATCTGCTTTGCACCCATACGTCCTGAACAGCCGACATGGTCTTGCTCGCCGCCTCACGTCCCTGCTGCCTTCTCTGCTATCGACGGCGAAGATGCCAATGCCGTTCAAGAGACGGCTCAATGCTGCTGGACGAATTTTCATATGAAGTGTATCAGGAATTGGGCAGAGACGAGCGTGAAGAACGTGAGGGAGGCATGGGCTGCGCGTGGAGAGGAGAGGGAGGGAGATTGGCGTTGTCCTGGATGCCAGTCTAAGCGCAGTGTCGTACCCCGCGTTTATACGTGTTTTTGCGGCTCTACTCAGGACCCGAAACCGCCTCGACTGTCGACACCTCATTCCTGCGCTACACCTTGCTCAAGACGACGTGCATGCGGGCATGAATGTCCACTTGTCTGCCATCCCGGACCTTGTCCGCCTTGCGCGATCACGACGCAGACACCGTGTCATTGCGGAAAGCAGAAGATCTCATTCGTCTGCTCTCGCTCGCGTCCTTCCAAGAACACGGCGGTCCCTGCCGTCGATCTTTCATGCGGTGCCAAATGCAACCGGAGACTCGGATGCGGGAATCATACCTGCCAGGAGATTTGCCATCCCGGCCCTTGCTCGCCCTGCACTATCACAGAGCACGCGCGCTGCTATTGCGGCAAATCCGAGACGGAGCTACGTTGTGGACAAGCAGACGACAAAGCGTGTTCAGTCGACGGCGAAGAGGGCTGGATTGGAAAGTACGCATGCGACCAGCCGTGTACGCGCAAATTCGCGTGCGGTGAACATACATGCACCAAGTCATGTCACCCGCCGTCGACTACACCTCCACCATGCCCTCGATCGCCAGAAAGCGTCACCACTTGTCCTTGTGGGAAGCACATCCTTGCAGACCCCGCCTCAGCACCTTTCTTCCCGCCCGGAAAGAAGCTGCTACGCTCTAGTTGTCTCGACCCGATCCCGACATGCGCGAGCCTCTGTCTGCGCCCGATGCCCTGTGGACATGCCTGCAGTTCAAAGTGTCACGAAGGCGACTGCCCGCCTTGCAGAGTCCCTCTCGTCCGCCCGTGCCGTTGCGGCAGCATGACCCGCGAGATTCCGTGCCACTCCTCCCAGACGCGCGAAGAGCCGTTCTTATGCGACCGACCATGCCACGCTCTTCGCGCATGCGGGCGTCACCAGTGCAACCGCCCTTGTTGCCCGCTCGCTGCTCTGGCGGCGGGAGGAAAGGGCAAAGGGAAGAGGAAGGCGCAAGTGTCACAACAGGAGATCATCGATCCCGAGGGATGGCATGTCTGTGATCTCGTCTGTGGAAAGCCGCTCGCGTGCGGGAACCATGATTGCGAGGAGAGGGACCATAAGGGCGTCTGCCCCAGTTGTCTACGGAGCTCTTTCGAGGAGGTACGTTGTATATTATCTATATCTTGTCTCATGATGTTGACTTTGATTGCGTGTCCGACAGATGATCTGCTACTGCGGCCGCACAGTCCTCGAACCGCCCATCCCCTGCGGCACGCGCATAAACTGCACCTACCCCTGCACCCGTGGCAACCCGCCCTGCGGCCACCCGCGCATCCCACACGCCTGCCACGAAGACCCCTCTCCCTGCCCGCCCTGCGTAGTCCTGACATCCAAGCCCTGCGCCTGCGGCAAACAGAACGTCGCGAACGTCCGCTGCTCGCAGGAGAAAGTCTCGTGCGGCCAGGTCTGCGGCAGGCTCATGAGCTGCGGCGGGCATAGATGTGATAGGGTGTGCCATGCGGGGAACTGTGGGGATTGCACGGCTGTGTGCGGCAAACCCAGAAGTTTGTGTTTGCCAGCGCTGCACCCCTGCACGATCCCATGTCATGCGCCGAGTTCGTGTCCTGAGTCCGAGCCCTGTACGGCGCCAATCGAGATAACGTGCCCGTGCGGACGTATACGGCAGGCGGTCCAGTGTGCGCGGTGTACGAGCTCGCCAACCGGACGGGCTACAAGCCAGGCTACGGCGCTCAAGTGCAGCGATGAATGCGCAAGGGAGAAGAGGAAGGCGAAGCTGGCTGAGGCGTTTGGCGTTGTACCTGGTGTGGGCGGAGGGAGTGTGCAGGCTACGACGTATAGCGATGAGTTGAGGGACTTCGCGAGAAGTACGGCACATGGGAAGTTCGTTGGTGTCGTCGAGAAGGCTTTCGCAGAGTACGTCTTGGTCCGTCTATCCACTATCCGCTTCTGACCTGCATATCTCGTAGCTTCCTCGCCTCGGACAAGAAAGCGCAAACTCTCCCGCACATGCCCGAACCCCGCCGACGCTTCGTATACGCACTCGCATCCGTATACCGTATGGACGCCCAAATGGTCGATGCAGAACCGCACCGCTCAGTGCAGATCATTCGGCGCATCGACTCACGCATCCCAGTGCCCTTACTCTCGACCGCCATAGCACAACAACCTCAGCGCGCCTCTACGACTGCCGCTTGGGGCGCGAAACTCGTCACTCCCCAACCCGCACCTGTGACTGGGCCTGCGGCGAGTAGAGGGTGGAGGAGTGTTGTTGCGCAACCAGGAAGTGTGATTAAGCCTGCGCCGCCCGCTCCTGCCCCCGTTGCGAGCACGTCGAGGCTTGTACCACTCAGACCGTCAACGTCGACAACGAGGTCGGCTGTAACGACGCCGAAGGCCTCGGCGCCTGTTTCTGGGTCTGCGACGCCTGTGCGTCTTGCGGATGTTGGAGATGTGCCGGAGAACTGGGAGGATGAAGCTTGAAGTAGAGTATTGGTACTCATGGAATAATGGAAGCATAATCTTGTCATTGAAATTATCGTCAACGCTCACGTGTTGTACGCGATTGCGGGGTGTCTACCGTGTGCTGCCGTCATGAATCGTATAGTGAGCGACACCGAGTGAAGATAGGTCCACAGCAGACCGTTTGGATCAAACCACTAGTTCGCAGATAAGGTCATGGTCAATATCATTACAAGGAGGACCTAGGGCCCTGATGGATGCATGTACAGTAAAAATACAGCAAAAGAATATACTTGTTAGCGGAGAGGAATGGGTCGTGACGGATGGAGGGTCCGAAGAGGGTAGCGAAGAGCATGCAGGGTAAATAGCACTTAGGACGCGGGACCAGGACAAGATATATGTAAAAACTCTAGAATGGATGACCAAAAAACATAGGATTACTCAGCACTTGCCTCATACTCCTCCTCGTGCTCGGCTTCCCAAACCGTCTTCCTCCTCACACTCCCGTCACCATTGCCGTGCAATGTCAGGAGTGCCTCTAGTCGTCTTCCAAGTTCAACGTCATCGCCTCCTCCAGCGAGCCCCTTCTCCCTCTCCTTCTCCGCGGTCGTAGCATGCAACGTCCGCTTCTTGCTCTTCCGCCTCACAATGCCCGGCACCTGCTTCAAGATCCCAGCCGGACCCAAAGCCTCTTCATCGGACGAAGGAGATGAGCCGTTCACGTCCTTGGCTTTGGCAATGACGGGTCGTGAGAGCTTCGAGCGCTGCATTGGTGCACTAGCGGGTCCGCTTGCAGGTATGCTGTTCGAGCCGCTCGATAGCGTCGACGGTGCGCCATGTAACGCCCGTTCCGTCTCAGCGTGGGCCGTACGCAACCACTCCTCCTCCGCCTCCTCAGGCCCAATGATACTCTCCACCAGCCCTTCTTCCCATCCGTCCCACTCGATGCACCGATGCGCGCTACGCATGAACGCGCCCGCTGCTTCCCAGTGCAACCACTCCGCCGCGAGGGCTGATTTGTCCTTCGGATGGTGGTGATGATGATGGCCGATCGCGGATGCGGCAGAGGAAGACATGGCCAGCCCCGGAATGCGTGGAGGGTGTCGGGGTGTGGAAGGTCCAGCGAGCTTTTGGACTGCTGTGCGGAAGAGACGGGCGGTGAAGGGTGAGGATTGAAGGAAGGCGGGTAGATGGGCGCATTGCCATAGTGGACGAATAGTCGTAGACTCCCAGTCGATGATGCACGTCTACCGAATATCATGAGTATCCAATATCATAGAAGGACATGAGACCACGCACGATCTTCGACGGATTCTCCGGATCGACGAAGATGTTCTCCAAACTCAGATCGTGGCAGTCGATCCCAAACTCCTCAGGACCACCACCCGGATCCGAGTTGCCCGCACCCAGCGCGTGCATGACGCGTATGAAACGCGCCATCTCCTCCCTCACACGTTGCTCGCGCTGCGAGAGCGTACTGATGAGGAACGCAGTACGCTGTGCTCGACGGTAGTCGCGGTACATCGTGTCGCCCGGCCAGTCGGTGATATCGTCGTCACTGTCATCGCGATCCCATTCGTCGCTGTCATCGCTCTTATCTTCCGGGACAGCGTTCGTATGCCGATGCCTGGATGAGAAGATCTCGTCGGGGTCGAGGTGTAGTCGATGTGGTGCGGCCGTGCCCTCGTTCTCCCGAAGTACGCCCTGTTCCTCGCGTCTTGCACACGCCATGAAGTACGCTTCCGTGCTCGTCCACGGCCCACGATCAATCTCGACTGGGTGGCGCAGATCACCTCGGTTGGAACCGAAGAAGGGCCACGAGATGATCTGGCCGACGTGAAACGCTTGCGCAGATTGTTGCTGACCGTGGAAGTACGAGCTGTTGCTGCGCTGTGGAGTGCCGCTGTGCGAGGACGGGTTGGACGACGGGGTGAATGGCCTAAAGGAGGTAGATGGCAATGTCGGCGTGGGAATGGTAGGCGCGAAGGCTGATGGCGTCGGCGGTGGCTCGGAAGCGTCCGAGCCGAAGTAGAGAGAACCGATGCTGGGGAACCTATGTGCGAAGAGCGGGACCACGAGTCCGGCAAGGTTGTCGAGAAGGCCGGTCAGCTGGTGGTGTGATAGGTTCTGATAGACGCTCGATAAGGGCGCGCCTTTGGCCTGCAAAAAAGAAGATAGAGTACGCGTTAGTCACGTGATCGTTGACAGGGGCTAAAGGGCTGATTTTCCCGCGCGTACTTTGGACATGATGATGTACTCGCCACCGAGCCTGTTGTACGGGTTCGCGTCATAGAAGAAGACGGTCGGGACCGGGATCTTTGTGTGCGCGCGGAGGTAAGCCATTGTGGCGACCTCGGACTCAGTCTTGAGTCTGGGCATGAAGCGGCGGGCTACGCGAGCGATGACCTCGCGACCGTCCGTGAGCGTGACGAGATAAGCCTGGAGGTGAATTGAGTACGTCAATCACACACGTTCACCAGGGTCATACACACCTTGTGGAACGTTCCTGTCCACCAAATCACAAGCGCCGGTCAGCATCGCACAAGTTGGCGCCCAGAGAATGCGCGCGCACCAGAGCTCAGGAACTGGATCCTCCCCACCTCGCACTCAAGCTTCTCCCGCACAACGTCCTTGAGCAGCCTCCGGTCGACCAGGAAGGGCTGCGCGCCGTGCACCGCGGCGTCGGCCTTGTTCTCTCGCCTCCGGTCCTCGTGCTCGACCTCCCAGCTCCATTCGATCGTCGGCATCGCGGCGGCCAATCCGGGCTTCACAGGTTCCGTCTCTGGCGGCGGCGTAGGCAGATAGGAAGTAGTAGAGTTATTGGCAGCGGCAGTGGTGGTGGTCTGATAGCAAGCCGAGTTCATAGCGCCGTCTGGCACCAACGCCGCGTTCGTGATCTCCGGATCGTCACGCAGCACACCCATAATCTCGCCTAGATAATTTGTCGGGGAATCAAGCACTGCACCAGGCCAACCAGGGCGCGATTCACGCGAAACGGTGCCATCATAACCGGCGCGGCCTATATACCGCCCGTCGGCAGCCTCTCGCGGCACCCATCACGACATTCACAATCTATTCTGTAAACACGGGGCCTGTGACCCGCGACCACAGTGACCGTCTCACGCTCGCTTGCCCGTCAGAACGCCGCCCCTTGCGCTTCTGCATACAGAACCCACTCAATAAGCGTTATCTATACCCTTCGAGGATCCTCCAGTCTTCTTTCGGACTCGGTGCTTTGGGATTCGGATGACCCGTCGGTCGCGGCGTCTTGAGTAACGGGTTTCATTGACGGCGCCTATCGCGACCCAAGATATCGTACGCGTACGCAGCATCGTACGCAGCAACGGCGTCGTAGCGTAACATGCACCCTGGCTCCATCGCGAGCCTGCAAGCTCGCTTAACGCTCACAGCATCGCGCGCCAAGGATCGCAAACAACAACGCCAAGTCTTCCAACTTCTGGCAACCTGTAACGCCGCACGTCCTCGCAGCGGCGTTCAGAGTCTTGGATGCTTCTATTCGCCCGCCCAGCCTACTCTCTGAGAAGCGCTCGCAGACGCCCAGAATGGGTTTGCCACTCTTGCCGATCGGGGCCAAGTGCACCCAAGATGCCGCTGTCAAGGCATCCAACGAGCGCTTCCTCCCTCGCAACTTCTCTCTTGGCCATCGCGTATGCTGACAGGATATTCCGGAGGTCCGACCGAGTATTGTGCAGTCTATCTACTGTACAGAAGACGAGGGAAATGACGAGATCCGATGTCAGAAAGGTGCGGCACGCTGAACAGTGATTTCTTGTTCGGAAAGGTCTTCAGTCGGCGCTATCAAGTTAGCGAGCACCGCGGAAACGACAACGGTGCGTGATCTGTACCCTGAACCTCGCGATTGGCAAGCGCATCGAATGGGACACGTTGAAGACTATCTGAGCGGTTTCATACAGCGCGCGCAGATGCTCCAAAGCGCTCGTTCACGAGATGTTCGAAGGGCGTTGAGCTATTCTTGAGTCATCCGCTGACCCATACAAACTTAGCACTGCATACAGACCTACCGCACATCGTATTACGTGGAGCGTACCGTACGATAAGTTTGCGTGTTGAAGTGGCAATACCATAACTCAGTACGCGGTGGCAGCGGTGAGTGTGAGATGCCAACTCGCCATTGGCAGAGCGGGCCAGCGTGACATCGCGAGTGACAGTGGCGGCAAATTCCCGGTGTGGTCATCCTCGGACCTCTCCCCTCCGAACCCCCCTCAGCGCAGAGAAAACACGGGATGACGATTCGGCTCGAGCGCATAAACACGAGAGCGAATGTGAGTACCTCTAGGCCTCACAGTCCGGAGTACGGCGTGCAGGGACCACACAATACCCATCAAGCACGGGATTGCCCACGGGCCGAGGGAAGAGGCCCAAAGCAGATAACATGATCGCGTACAGACCTTTGATAGACCCATCCAGCCAGTGAAGGACCACGAAGGACCCATCTCGCCAATGCGAACCCTGCAGGCTAGCTTTGATTGAAGATGATTGCAGGACTCGACCAGCCCCACAATACAGCGCGATACATGGGTGAGTCGACCCCACGGGGAGGATCGGACGGCGAAGGAGTCGCGATGGGAGTGGAGGGAGGAAGGTAGGAACATTCGGGACGAAACGTGAGTTTGCGGGAAGGGGTAAGGCGAGGTTCGGGATGTACGGAGAGGAAGGGAGCTCCAGTCGGTAGGGGACGGCCCGGGTGGTCGATATGTATAGAAAGGTGAAACCATCCGATAGAAACGTTCTTATGCAAGGGATACAGCGTATGTACAGAGGTTAGAAATACATATTACGGAGACGCAAACAACAGTCCGATAACATATAGAGCCATGCAAGGATCACCAACAACAACCGTTTACCGTGTCTCAGACACCACCGCAACATCGTGCCCAATAATTACTTCATATATAAGCGTACGGCGGACTGCTTGGCCGTCTGCTACAAGCTCGTCAGGTCATGTTCAGACGCTCATCGCATGCGGAATAGCTCACCGATCGAACGTACTCTCAACACACACAACATCATCCACCCTCTCCTTGATCCACTGCACAACATCCTGACCCACGCTCGCGCACTCGACCATCTCCAACCTCTTCAACCTGGCAACTTCAGTATGCCCATGCGCTCCGCTGTTGCTCGAACTTCCGTTCGTAGGTGGATTGCGTTTTTCGACGAGATGTACGAGCTTAGGGACACCATCGGGATGTGCGGGGCATGACTTGAGACAGAGCGCGGTGAGCTTCGGACAGAGCCATTGATCTCCTCCTGCGAAGACAGGAATGGGACCATCTTCATCCTCATCGTCTGGAGATCCGAGGGCTGTGACGAGTGGTTCGAGAGGCGCACTGCCGACACGGAGCGTAGTCAATGAGTCACAGTGCTCGAGCCATGCCCAGCCACCGACCAGACCACCGGCGTTGTAATAGTACGGCGGCCCGCCATGAGCTGCTCCGGCGTAACCTAGGCTTAGCGTGTGTAAGGGCGGGCTCTGACTGCGTTGGAAGAGCTGAGCGAGGTGATCGTCGAAAGGATCGCGTGCTTCGATGTCAAGCGCAAGGTTACCGAGCGCCGGTAGAACGAGCGTATCGAGTAGCGAGGTCAGCGTGTAGTGACCGCCGATGGCGAGTGTGTGAAGATGCGGGAGTGTCAATTGCGAGAGGGGAAGCACGGCGGGGAGTACATTCAAGAAGTACAGATCCATCTCCTCGAGATTGGGATTGGAGCGCGCGAGAGACAACACGCGGTCCAGCGCGATGTTGCTACTCGGCAGCGCGCGGAGGCTGAGCTTCGTCAGGTTCGGGCGCAACATGGGGCTATTCCATTTGAATGGCGCGTTCGCGAGCGTCAAGCTTCGTAGAGCTGGAAGTTGGACAGGCGTATTGGGCGAGGCGCTCGGTAACCATGGCCAGTCGCCGTAGTATGCCGCTTCAGCGCACGCGACCTCGAATTCGCGCAATAGCGGTGCATTGCCGCCGGAGATAGTTTTGAGGGCGTTCCACGATGAGAACTGTTTGTCGAATCGGAAGATAAAGCGCTCCCAGCGCGGCATTTGACTTGTCAGGTAGTATATCGCAACATGTCCCCAGGCGCTGCCGTCGTCTGGGGCCTGATATCGGCTGCTGCGTCGTGAATAGGGTATGGGAGGAAGGGGAGGTGGCGGTGCGTGCCATCCAGTTGGTACGGGAGAAGGCGGGAAGAAAGTCGGAGAGGGCGGGAGCGTTCCGGTACTGGGTGGCAGCCAGACCCAAGTGCTCTGATTTGGCGGAGGAGGGACATCTTCGAGCCCCGGCATGTCATCGTGAGGATGAGGCGATTCATCGTCGTCCACCAAAAGTCCGAGCTCATTGGGCGGGCTGGGCGCTTGATAGTGGGCCGGACCGGGATTAGGCAGGGGATGGAGTTGTGGCGTTCGGCGTCTCTGGGGCGGGCGTGCGACTCTCAGGAATATCTCGATGTCGAGCGGCAGCGACGGGCCGGCGCGCTCGAGCCATAGGCGTATCGTATCGGGCGACGAACTGGGGGTAGTCACGAGCCGAATCTACATCGTAAAGAGCGTGAGCTCGGGCACGTTCATAGCGGCAAAGTCAGGACAGTGATGTGGCTCTGTGGGCGCAGAATACGGCGATGGAAGGCACGCTTCCCACTCGCGCGACTTCCGAGGGCGCTTGTTCTGTTCGGCCACTGTTCGGACGATCGAGGCCATAGCGCTACCGCGCATAAGCTGCGAGCCTGCATGTGCGTCCCCCGTGGGCTTCGAACATGCGGCAGGCATGCGGCCGTCCGCTGCCGCGGTTGAGGGCAAGAGAGGTACTGAGCATTCCAGGAATGGAGCTCATAGATAGCGTACAGCGCAATGAAAGATAGCATTGTCCCGCCAGACGAAATAACACACCTTGGTCCAGAGCATTGGCATTCCGAGCGCCGTCCTTCTCCACAGCCTACATATTGAACTCAAGACCCACCCTACACAGGGCTGCTCCTCCCAGTTCCAAAGAAAGACCTCCTGCAACAGCTCGCGCGGCAGCCTTTTGATGGGCGCGAGATAGCCTCGCGTGTGTTCCACCGTGCGCCGAAGCTCGGTGTGTTCAGCCTGCAGAGCGTATATAGCAGCTCGCTGCTCGGCTATTGTCTCGGCCAGCTTGCGCTCAGCAGCAGTGATGCGGGCCTGAAGATCAGAGAGCGCGACGCCATCAGAAGCCAGGCGTTCGCGAGCAGCGTGTAGCGAAGCCGTCGTCGGGGGCTCGGGCAGCGAGAACATGAGGCTCCCGGACATGGTGGCCGCGCGGGATAGAGGTCGGACGGTCAGGCGCGGCGCTCCCACAGCCTGCACTGGAGGCGCTCGTATATCACATCTTCACTCCATTTTCCGGGCTCTATAAACTTCCGGACTGGTCATGCGCAGACAATACACCCAAGGCGTAAGAGCGGGCCCAATGTCGCTTCAGGTTCAGAATCAGACTGGACCGGGCCCACAGGCAGCTTAGCCGAACAACTGTGACATGCATGCTTCATTATGTGCAAATCCATCTGGATGCGTAAGTTACTGAATAACTAAAGTATGACAGAGTTCGTGCAGGTACCATACGGCTTGTATGACGCCGCAAGACTCGAGAAGCTGGCAAAACGTCTTAGTTCCCGAAGTCCTACCGTATTGAGATCTTCTTCCCAATCTTTACTGGCTCCAGTCGGTGTCTCGCGCGCAAGAGCTGCTTCGCATGCTTCGCCTTGCCCACGCAGCGTTCACAGAGTGCCCCAACTCGCACTTTACGTCGACAGCGTGCGCCGGCGCAGACTCTTGTTGGACTTGCAACTGGAGTCGCCACCGCCTTGTGTGGAACGGCGATAGGGGTAGCCTGCGTTGACTGAGAGTGATTATTTGGCGTGTCAGAGGGTTGCGACGTGTCGGGGGATGCGAAATTCTCAGAGGGTGGAACGCCGACAGCTGCAGGGAGCGCGGGCGAAGCAGACGTGCGGGACGGCGTTATGATCGTTGAACTTGGGGCATCGACTGCTTCATTTGCGGCGGACGTTGCAATAAATGCTGTGCTCGACGAAACAGTCTGAGGACCCGTAGGAGCAGATGTTGCGCTTGATGAACCATGTGGTTTGCCTGCCGCAGACAACCCAAGCACCTCATCTAGAGAGATAGGCGTCTCATTTGACAGTCCAGGTGTCATACTCGACGAGCTCAGAGTAGGTTCCGGACTTGTGTCTCCGTCCTCGAGCCTCCTGCGTTTCCGATTCTGGAGCTTATGTCAGCGTGACCCGTTCAACGAAGATTTACAAGGGAAAACTCACAGATGCTTTAGGGTCATACATAACAATTTCCAGGTCCCCGGCCATGCCAACCAAGGCCGCACTTCTGCGCCGCACACCAGGACGTGGTGGCGGCGCGAAGGCTGGATCGCTTCCACGTCGAATAGTAGCAAGTGTGTTATCCGCAGACGCTAGCGCTGCGGTGCCGACGGCTGGATTATAAAAGGCTGGTACAGATGACGGAGGAGGAGGGGTAGAAGGTGAACGCGATGAATCTTGGTGTGGTTGTTGTTGGCCTTCGAGTGGCCGATTAGAGACAGCAGGTGTAGAGGCCGAAGAAGATGGAGGAAGGGGTCCAGGCGCAGGGACCGTAGGAGATGGAGGCGCCGGACGCTCTGACGAACCAGGCTCAGGATGTGTAGGAGGTGCATTGAACACCGATGAGCCAGGAGCATGCTTGAATGTCAGCGGACGTGACGCGGGAGGCATGGTAGACATGAACGAAGATTCGGGCCGCGATGCCGGGGGCGGATGTTGACTTGTTGCGGATGGCGAAGCCGCTATCGCGTTTTGTGCTACAGCAGCAGTAGAGTGCGGCCCTGATTCAGGAACTTCCTGGTGCTCGGAAGGTGGGGGTGGGGGACCATACCACCCAGGCGCCATGGGATATGGTGCCGACGCGAAAGGACTAGGCGCGCTACTCGGGTTCGTGAACGGACTTGGTTGTGTGGGTGGTGGTATGGGCATCATGTAGGGATACGCATATGGACCGCCTTGCACGAAGGGGCTACCCGATTGAACAAATTGGCTCGGTCCGAATTGGTTGGGTGGAAGACCGCCTGGCCCAGGCGGTGCGAACGGTGATGGTATGGACATGAGCATGGGCGGATGACCGGGGTACGAGACATACGCCGGGTGGAAGAAGTACGGAACGCGAAGTTTGGGGTGCAGATGAACGTCCTTTGACGCCGCCGGGTCAGAAGATGTCTCATCTGGTGTAGCCTCTCGGGACTGAGGCTGAGCGGTAGAGGCGCTGGGATCTTTGTAGGAAGTCGTCTGCTCGTCTGGGACGGAAGATGGTGGAGGAAGTGCGCTTGAGGAACCAGCTGTAGAGGTAGCAAGGCTTGCAGAGTGCTCATGCTCATACAATGTATGCTGCATCGTAGCTGAGGCGGCCTGAGTGCATGATCAGCGAGGGTGCACTGGGAAATGCTGATATAGGTACGTACAGGATCTACCTCCACATGCTCAGAACTCAGCTTGGCTGGACTGGGGGGCGTAAGGGTTGAACCTGAAGGTCCAGCACCGCTGGAGGGAGGTTGTAGGTGTTGTTGGCGTACTCCCTGGTCTATCTGCCGGTGCACGTCGCACATAAGCCAGGGCGTCTTGGGGTCGAGGAAGTTGTAGCAGCCCTTTATCTGGCAAACATGATCTTCGCGAGAGACTACTTCCACCACATCCTGCGACGACATTGAGCTATGCCCCATGGAGATGGGAACCGAAACATACCTCAAGACTTTCGGCGCCGTCGACGACCACCTCACGAGCATTAGTTTGGCCCGACGAAGGTTCTGGTTGAAGCAATCCCTTCTCTTCCTTATCGCGCACCCGTTTCAGTTTGCTATGGTGTCGGTTCTGATAACGATGTTGTTCGCAACGTCGATACTCGTAGTCCCCGGACAAGATGACATGACAATGAGACACTGTGCACATCCGAATGGGAGGGAGAGCCGATGTGCCAGCCGGTGGAGGTGGAGGAACGCGAGGCATCAGATTCTCCTCCCAGACCTTCCGCTCGTGAGCTGGTAGTTCAGCCAGAGACTGTGACACGCAGTGAGTAAAGCAGGGAGGGTAACATATGAAGGCTCTGCAGCATACCGGTAACCCTGCGTCCTTTCGGCGCTGTTCCTCGGCCAGACGGGCCTCCTCAAGCGACGCGAGAGCAGCCTCCTTATTTTTCCTCCACTTCTCTCGCTTCACATTCCCGTACTCGCGGTAGCGGTCGCGACATGACTGGCACATCTTGTACGAGTGCTCGGCAGGAAGAACCTGTCGGCAGCCCTTGATTGAACAGTATCGAGTCGGTGCACTGTTTGACGTCGAGGCCTCGCCCGTGTCAGGGGGTGGCGACTGCCGCTCATCATGGTCGGGTGTTCCCTCATGATCGGCGTGATGGGGAGACGGTGAGGAGGTAGCGTTTCCAATACCGGAAGGCGATGACTGAAAAAGGCGAGGGTCGATCTGCGCATGCCAGCCTGCCGGAGTCTGTATATCTGACTGACTTGACTAGAAAATTAATGAACGTCAGCTCTTTCTTCTGCTCCACCATGTCATGTCAACATTTGCGCACCTCTCCGCCATCAGCGGCGCTTGAACTCGCACTGGCGATTGGCCCGGAGGGCGTCGGATGCGCGATCTGTGTAATCGAGCGCCCATGCCCAGATTCGGGCGGCGTGAAGACCGCGCCTTCTGCAGCAGCCAGACCTGTCAAGCCCACAGCCATCTTCTCCATCTTCCTCTTCTGTCTCTTCGTCGAAGCGTACACACGATGACGCCCGCGACACTCGTCGCACATTTTACCATTGTGTGATTCCGGCAGCTCTCTTCCGCAGTTTTTCACCGAGCATTTTCGGAGAGATGAGGAAGTAGGAGCGTCTGGGCTCTGGTTCTGCGCGGAAGTGGAAGGTTGTATAGAGGCCTCAGGTTCGGCAGACGCGAAGTAGGGAGGGTCCGGCGGAGGATCGTAGTAGCTCATCGTGTCTGCTGGCAGACTCGCGCGCCAGTCCCGGGTCAGACGCGTCTTTCAGATTTAGGGAAACATGTGGCATTATGTGGGTCCTGGTGGACAGGCGCCTAATTGCGTGTTCTGTGCTACATAAGCATGGGTCTTCTATGGATGGACATGGTAGTATCTACAAGACGATTTGGGCCTGCGGCGTACATAATCACTGCCCGCATATGCTCAGATGGGCGAACGACGAACATTGGTCCAGCCCTGCGCGCGATCTGCGGCATGAGGCTGGTCTTATCAGTAAGTTCAATGCGGACCAGCAACTTGAGCAGGATCTTGCATATGTGACTCTACTGTTTTTTGATAGGAGCGATCGAAACGCGAGGCTGAGGGTATGCTTCAGTGAATAAGGAGATGCTCAAAGTGTCCAACCTCTCGTAATCGACCCCACTCTTGAAGACCCTCTATTCACAGTTCTCTCGTCAGAGGGCGATCTCAGCATGTCAGTCGAGGACAATTCATCCGGAGCGGTCAACGAACGATAAAGATCTATTTTCAATTTGATCGGACTCGGAGAGCTTCTGAAGCTCTGGACTGAGACGGGCGAAAAGCGACCTGCCAGTGAGGCTTCATCCAGTGCAGTCGTGACAGGATCCGGAGCAAGGCGTTCAGGAGACTTCTCGAAAGCACACCGCATATCCATAGTCTGAGTAAGGTAGCGACTCTCGGCAGACTTCCGAGGTCCGGGCGCAATGAGTTGGGTGCTTTCGTTCATGCATCCCGGGCAATGAGTCTTTCTTCTCTGGAAAGCGCAATACATCACCAGCAACGGGGAGAGCGCCTGAGCCTGTCCCAGTATAGGCAGAAAGAACATCTGCGCTGAGTCGGACAATCCGACACAGACAATATATGAGATTGCGGGAACAGCTTCGATCGCTGCGGCCAGCGCGATTGTTCGAATGATCCTAGCGTAGAGGTCTTTGTCGTAGATTCCATCTTGTCGCTTGTGACACCATAGACGAATGGATATCACTAGTGTCATTGACACGCTCAAGGCCAAGGATATTGATCTATATGAAACGCAGAAAGACCCTGAGATGTACCAGGTGTGAGTCGAAGTTTTGGATACCCCGAATAGAAACAGGCACCCTAGCACTGATCGCCTGTGTGTTCAATCACTGCACTCCACGACTGACATTGACATTCGTACCGATGTTGCAAACGTGAACGCAGATTGTTGGTACCAAGAAGGGCATCGACCGGTTGAGAACGATGTATGTTCGCGAGATCTGCGTGTACAGTGTTGAGCGCGTTTACCGGAGACATCTTATTAGGAGTTGAACTAACCATGACCGAGTCCGCAGTCCAATTGAGAAGGACATATCTTCGCCCAATTCAGTCTCGATGTTAAGTCTTGACCGCGCAAGGTACCCACAGTATATTCAACGAAAGATACAGCCGATGGCCGATCACGGAAGTTGTTGTGGGGCGAAGAGCGACCCACGCAATCTGTAGAGCAAAGGCAGAAGTTGCAACGACGATTATCCATAGTTGCAGTGCGAGCATAGTCCTGGCCGACGGCCGCCAGTGTGTGATGACTAGTGGACGCGAGACGACTAGGAATGCGCCTAGATATGTATTGCATGTCAATAAGAGCGTCGCGCTAGTCTTCAGGAACACACAGACCATATCCAAGAGCGACTACCAGACTCGCGAATGTGGACGGGGTAAGAAAGTCTTTATCAATGATGCACTGTGGTATGGGGGCCATCCTGGATCGAGAATGTGGATACGTGAGTCCTGGTCTCCCAGCGCTCTTATAGACGGGAAACCAGAGACAACTACGATCAAACCTTCCCTAAGTGTGGCGCTATGTCGACGACGCCGCGAGACCGGCCACAGATATGCGTAGTACCCTTCTTTGTCTCGTGCCAAAGTAGTTGCAGCAGTTGTCGCCGTTTATGGATACCGAATATGATAGTCCTTGTGAACGCGATGTGAGTGCCACCCGCGATGCGAGATGCCCACCCTGATAGACCCATAGTGGCATTCTCACCCTGAAGCCAGCCGAGATTGCTGCGGCGTTCAGGCCGTTCACGTCCTCCCGCACATATACATAGGATGACTCTTATATCAATACAACGTTTGAGCGGGTACTGGGCATAGAGTAAAGATCGCCTGCACAGTGAACACGGAAATCGAAGCCTTTGTCAATGGCCCATCTTCGGGCCGATATGCACCGGCTGCATCAGCCGTGCACCGCAACCTATTACGACTTGTACAAGTCCGACGTAGACGGGTGTTCTCAGGAGGAACGCCCAGCTGGATCAAGAGTGCACCTTCTCTACGGCCTCATCAACTCTTTTGATATTGGTTTCGAGAGCCGCCAGTGGGAGCAAGCTGAGCGGATCGTCTGAACACGTATGAGCGTCCTCCGTGGGAATACATATACATGAGTTACTCACTATAACTTCCTGCCTCAACGAACCATGATTTTAATGCGCACCTGAGAGGCGTGAGTAGTGAAGTCTCGACCTCTTGTAGAGTATGACGATCTCGTATGCCGGTCTGGTGCAACCAGTTAATGCACCTCCTTGGTGTTCCAAGAGAACACTTGCCTTATTATCGGCATCGCGTAACAACAAGACATAATAGAATGCCAAACATTCTACCAGGCGCTTCGCCTCGTCCATTTCGACAAAGTCCCTCACGGATAGGTTCCTTTGAAATAGGTCCACGGGGTCTGGCCGTAGCAGGAATGAACCCAATGTCGCCAGCATGAGCGGGGAAGCAAAGAGATCGGGTTCAGAGGCGGAACGCTCCAAGCCCTCGAGGACAGCGTCCTTGACTAGTCCGATAGCCGCAACGCGCATCTGAGGAAAGGCATCTTCAGATGGTGCCAGGAGGTCGCGCAGCACTTGTAGGCGCAGAGGCGGTGGCGACATGTGAAGCACTTGCCCTAAGAGACGGAAGGATAGGTGTCGCGTGGGCGCATCTGGGTGTATGCTGCAGAGTGCCGGGAGTATCGTAGAGAGTGCAATGATGACGTCTGGAGAGGGATCGATTGTTGTACTTGGGATAGTGGGAAAGAAGACCACAAGAAGGAGCGCCAATGCTTCGTCAAGTGCGACGTTCGCCTGAAGTGCAGCCAGTATCGCAGGAAGCATGGTCGTCAAGGTTTCCAAAGAGGACGTCTCTAGACAGTCGGAATGTACAAAGAGTACCAGGCACGCTACAGATGGTATGGTTGACAATATGGCCGCCGTCCTTCCCAAGGATTCAGAAGTACGCTGGACATAGTGTCAGTGACCGAAGACATTATCTGTGACATCACATACCACGACAGCCCTCAAAGCGTCCGCATTGAGTTTCCATTCTGAGCCTGTCATTGTACGTACGACCAATCGCGGGAAGCGGGCGGCAAAGATACGTTGAGATAATAACGCAGACGTTGTATTGGCACATGCTTCCACCACAGCATCGAGGAACGCAATCAATGTGACCTGATAGCCGCTTCAAGTCAGTACTTAGACAAAATATGATGCGGCTACATCCTTGCCTTGCAACGAGTGGCTTCAGCTTCATCTTCTCGGCATCTATCGCTGGCCCAAGTATGCAAGTCTTGGACAAGTGTCGCAGTAGCCATAAGCATATCTCGACTTTCCGAAGGGCTCGCATGTGATGTGGCAGGGAGAATGCATTGTTGCATTTCTCCGATAGTCGTAAAAAGCGTATGAGAGGGTGGCTTCTTCGTCTGGAGGCGAGGGATAGCTGCATTGGACGTGAGTCTAGAACGAATACGCAATCAGGACGAGCTTTGCCAGACATACCGTGAGCGTACACATCAATCAGACGTTTGATTTGCCTGGCAGTCGTAGCCCGTGTCTCGTTGAGTTCGTTATCACTACCATCTTCGTCGGCATTGGCAAGATATTCGATTAGTTCTTGCGCGGCCACGGTCAGCTCCCGAGCGCTGGCGGATTGACTCAGTAAGTCGAGAACTGCGTCTACTCCTTCACGCGAAGACGACAGCAGAGGGCTCAAAACTGCCAACGGGTCCTTGTTATTTCAGATCATTTCGAGCACAAAACATAACGGAGGTCTCACCAGTTCGGCCTGTAAATTACCCCGAGAGATAGCAAGGCTCAACTCGAGTAGGGTCTCGGAGCCTACCACGCCGTCCACAGAGGCCAATATCCGATCCGTAAGTGTTTCGATCTTGCGAGGCTGATCAGCAAGAGCAGTGGTAGAAGTGTCGAGTAGACTAGATCACGCACATCCTTTGGCACATTTACCTATGGCCGTTAATCAGGAGATGCTCTTGAAAGGAGATGACATCTCGTACAGCGAGCAGCATGGCGTGAGAGGAATCACTAGGGAAGAGCGCATAGACCGCTGGTCGTTGTAAAGAGCAAGGATCATGGCAGAGGTGACGCGTGCCTTCATGCGTCGGCAAATTCCGCTCAGGGCCCATGCGGAGCCCAGTGGCCGCGTTTCTCACCGGTACTTGTTTACTGCCACCATCTTCAGCAAACCATTGTTTCCGCCCATTCATTCGAGTGAACACTAGTCGACCCATGACTCGGTCTCCACGTTAGGCTATGTGCATGGCGTTTGAATCCTGTGCTGCACGTTCGAACGCGAATCAGAAGTCCGTTTAGTTGCAGTGCCCCTCGGAGAGGCTATAAAGCCTTGCTTCAGATCAGGCCTTCGACCGCCCCCACCATGACCTCCCCCATTCGACTCTTTGCCTCTGACGACACCCTGAAGTCTGTCACCATCTTCAAGTCCGACAGAGCTGAGGTCACGCGTGCCTTCACTGCCACTTTAGAGGTGAAGAATCTGGTGCACGAGGTATAATATGTACTGACGGCCGTTCTCAACTAGGATGGACAGAATAATATCGAGATAGTGGGGCTGTCTAGCTGTGTAGAGGTCGACTCTGTCCGTGTTACTGGTCTGGGTGACGCGCGGCTCTTTGAGGCCTCTTGCAAGTTGCAGAGACGGGAAACTTGGCGCAAATTGGATCCGTCGTCGGACTCTGAGCGCATCCGCGTCCTTAACGAGAAGAAGGCACTGTTGCAGCAAGAGAAGGCCGTATGCGAGAATGCTTCCTCCATCCTCCGGGACTATGGGAAGTCTCTGTCAGGCGAGCATATCACGCCGGCGGATGCAGACAAATTCCTCGACCAGTATCTGGCTCGAGGCTCCACTCTCGCTCGTAATGCAGCGAAGCTAGACGGAGAATTGCTCATGCTGCAGCGGGAGATTGATGATATATTGGCCGACAGTTCTTCGAAGATGGGTAGTACAGATGGCCAAGTCAATGTCACGATCATGGCGAAGACTCAGACTGAGATCATACTAAAGCTCGTCTATGGTCTGCATACATTATACTATCTTCTGAGAATATGACGCTCATTGCAGAATATGATAGTTGTTCGTCAGGCCCGGTGGAAGCCATCCTACGAACTACATGCATACCCCGACAAGTCCGGCCTTCCAGTACCTTCCGTCTCGCTTCACTATAGAGCGATGATTGTTCAAGGCACTGGAGAGAACTGGGAAGGTGTCGCGCTTACGCTTAGCACTGCCAGCCCCAGTCTTGCCGATGAGTCGATCCCGGAGTTGAAGCCGACGCGAATCAGCCCTCCTCGCGTGCATAGTGCTAGGGCTAAGCGCCTTCCTCCACCTTTACCACCTCTGCCTATGCAACCCTCTGCGCCGCCCCCGCCGCCTACCCAGATTGTACAACTGTACAGTGCCAAACAAGCACAGGCGACACCACAGGCGAATTCACTTGCGAATGGCCCAGCTTCACGGCAATGGACGCCCCCTGACTCGTGGGCAGTCGCGGGGGATGACGAAGTAGAGCTCGTTGAATCCATCTCAGAGTTCGAATCAGCGACCTCTATAGCGAGGGAAAGCCCCCTATTTGTATCGTACACGATTGACGGAAAGTCGAGTATCCCAAGCGACGGCGAGGCGCACAAGGTTTCAGTTGCCGAAATCCCTTTCGAGGCTCGGGTATCGCATGTCGTGGTACCCAAAGTCAAAGCAATTGTGTATCTAGAGGTGTGTCTCGTGTATTGGATGTTGGACGCGTTTGACTAAAGATCGGTAACAGGCGAAAGTCAAAAACACCAGTGATTACCGCCTCATGCCTGGACCGGTCAATGTCTTCTTCGACGATAGCTACGTCTCTCAGACATCAATCAAGGTGAGCACTAGGCCTTTCTTCACCCGCATGAGAGCTGAGACATGTTAATAGGACATTGCTCCGGGCGGTGAATTCACATGCACTCTCGGGCCTGACATGGGGACTCGCGTGTCCTACAAACGCACGTCAAAGCTCGAGAAAGAGGCAGCGAGTCGTTTTGCGGAACAATTCTCCACCACGGCGTATACCGCGCTCACGACTGTCACCAACACCCATCCTTTTGCGCTCGGCAAGCTGATTGTGCGGGACGGTCTTCCGATCAGTGACGACGGAAACCGGGTCCGCGTGATTTTACGCGAGCCGTCCGTTCTCGCGGAGATGGAGCAAGGCGAAGAGAAGAACGTAGGCGAGCATAGAATTGCCTGGAGCTCTTCTTCTGGGCGGAAGGAGGGCCTGTACGAGTGGCACTGTTCGCTTGGCGCTAGTAAGGAGATCGCTCTGTCGACCTCCTGGGACGTGAAAGCACCTGCGGATGTCAGCTGGGTTGAGTCATGAATGCATGAACGGTAGTTGTGTCGTTCACTAAACATATGCCGCACCGTCACTCTCATTCGGACTGAGTACCAGGACTAGACTTTGCTATAAATATATCATACATTGAGACATTTCCTGGCGCTACTTGTCAGATGACGACGAGCTTTATTTCTAGGAGAGTAAGGAAGTATGGTATGACGGCGTATGTATCAGTATACGAGGAGGTATTGTTGCGGATGCGAGTGCTATCGATCAACTTATCAGGCAAGATGAGGCATAGGCTATAGTGCGAGTCAAGACATGTGGAAGGGGGTACAAAGCTGGATGATTAAACTGGTTTACTTGCCGCAGGCGGTCAAGGAAAGGATGAGTCGGGATGAGAAGATCTCGCAAGGAAGGTCATGATGTCTAAAGTTCAAGCGTTGATGTTGAACACTATGACAGCGTCAGTCTGGCGTCTATTGGAAAGGTCGACATGGATAACTTACACGCTGCAAGTTCACGAACTGACAAGCGACCCAATTTCCGCCCATTACCCTCGCCGAGGGAGCCATCAGCAAGGAGGCGCTTCTTCTCTTGCAGAGCGAGGATACGATCCTCTATCGTATCCTTGATGATGAAACGCTCTACGACGACGGGACGCTGTTGTCCGAGACGATGAACGCGGGACCACGATTGGTTCTCGACTGCCTCGCTCCAGGCAAGGTCCATACAGATGACGCCTAGGATGGTGATCAGTTACGGGCATCGGGTCACAACATTCGCAGACGTACGGTTACCACGAGTAAGATTCAAGCCAACGCCTCCGCAAGCGCGCGAGATTAACATGATCCGTGCCTTCTCGCGACTCTGGAAGACCCTGACGGCCAGTTCACGTTTGGGAAGCGTCATGTCGCCGCGATACTGCACGTGCACGACCTCTTTCTCGATCAGGTAGTTCGAGATGAGATCGAGGCACGACGTCCACTGCGAGATGACCAGAATCTGTATGGCAGGTGAGTCAACGAGCGTACACAGTGGGTGGTAACTGAGCGTACCTTCTCGTCGGGATGCTTCTCGTGCCATGAAAGAATAGTGTCCATCATATGCTTCATCTTGGCGGATGGGAGGAACTTGGGCATGAGCTTGACTTGCTCTGGGTCGAGGACGACCTCGACCTTCTCTTTCTTCGGCCTGCCGAAGACCACCTCTTCTTCCTCTTCCTCGAACTCGTCCTCCGAGTCCAGAACGATGCCCTTGCGACGCATAGACTTCTTAGCAGGAGCCTTACCCTTGACGGCGAGTTTCTTCTGGAGGGAACGACGGGCCTCATGCTCGTCGTCGTCTTCGTCGTCGTCCACGATGAAATCGGAGAGCTCATCATCTAGCTCGGAGTGTTCATCATCATCCTCGGAGTCGATGTACGATACGCGGCGTCGGGTCGAGCGGCCAGGCTGTACTCTTTCTTTCGCTTTGCCCTTACCCTTGACCTTGCGCGCCGGCTTAACGTCGTCGTCCGAGTCGTCGAGCATCTCGATATCCGAGTCGATGGCGGTGAACTTGCTCAGCTTCGCACCAGCAATCTTGGGGTTCAACTCGAAGTCGGTGGGTTCAAAAGCTGCGAGCGAGAAGAGCTTGTCTTGAGAGATAATAGTGCGACAGTTGGGGCCTACGGCAAGGCTTGAGCGAAAAAGGCCGATGTATAATAACACGGAACTCACAATCACGGTCCTTGTCGGCGTTGTACGTGCCATCAGCTTCCTGGCGCGGCCTGGTGAAGACGTCCGCTACGACGTGACATGAGTTCAATGTCGACGCAAGGGGGGAATATCACCCACTGATACACTCTCGGCAGAAGATATGACCGCAAGGAGTCACGACCGGATCGTTCGGGGAGTCCAGACATATCGCGCACTCCTCCTCCTCTACCGTCGCGTCGATGTTATCCTTCTCCGCTTCGATGCGCTGCCGGGCGATCTCCAAGCGCTGATTCTTCATCTTTGCCACGAAGTTGACACCGAGAAGCTTTTGCGCACGTGAAAGCTCGTCTTTGCTTTCCTGTGTGAGCTCGTCGTCGCCGTCGCCAGTGATCAGATAAGACGTCTTGTCATCTTGTATCAAGCTAGGATGGGAGCAGAGTTGTCGGAGACGCAAGAGCATGACGAAGATTTGGTGGTAGTTCTTGAGTACGGTTCCAGCTCGCAGAAACCTATTGAACTTCGCCTGCTCGTTCTTCTCGATCTAAGCGGACCCGTGAGCCTCAGCACGACCTAGAGCGCATTGACCGACATACCATAGAGTATACGTCTCGCTCTTCCTGTGAAAAGTCGATCTTGACGATCTTGACTTCGCGAGGAGGGAGCTCAATGAGTGGTTTGCCGTTGAGTTTCGAGTCCTGCGACGAATGTGAGCAAAGTCATAGATCTCCCAGCACAGCGGGAAACGCACCTTCTTGCGCCGCAGTTGGATCGTTTTATATATGCTCTGAAGACGCTCAGCGGCGAGTTTGGCTGTGAGAAGTCAGTCAGTGCAAAAATTCTAGTAACATATGGGGAGATGTCCGTACGATTCTTGCGCTCGATCCTGGCAATGCGGTCGTTGAACTCCTTCCAGTCGTACCAGGGTCGAACCTGGAGGAAGCGCAAGATCCCGTAGGCATCCTGTAAACTGTTCACGATGGGCGTGCCGGTCAGAGCCCAGCGATAGGTGGCGACGAGCTTTGTGACGGCGCGCGACACCCTCGTCTTCCTACATCACAATGAGCACCGTGGAGACAGTACTGTAACAGGCTGGACGAACTTATTCTTGATCATATGCGCCTCGTCGACGACAACGCGGAGCCAAGCAACCTTGAACAAAGTTCCAACTAATCACCAGAGATCAGGATGACAATTTGCCACCATGTACCAGGTAGAGACGTACGCTTCTTAGGCTTGCTCTTGTTGTTGCCTTTGCTCCTGGCGGTAACAGGGGCGTCGCTGTCATCAGACACGACGAAGTCGTCGTCGCGCGCCTTTGCCTTCGCTTTGCCTTTCTTTTCCTTCTTCTCGCGTCGCAAGTCCTCTTCGGGATCCGGCCACTCGAGTGCGAGCGTCTTGCGAAATCTGAGTCTCGTGCCGAAGGATTGACCAAGTGAGGACGTACATTCAGAGTGGTAAGGACAAAGTCATACTCGAGAATCTCGTCGTGACGAGGCTTGTTGTTGCCTGCACACGTCTTAAGCCTGTGAATGATGCCTGCAGATGACGACGAGCGTACCGTGATAGATGAGAGTGCTGAAGCTGCCGTCAGTCTTATCCGATATTTCTTGTGCCCACTGTTCGAGCAGAGCAAGAGGAGCGAGAATGAGAGTCGTCTTGTTATGGCCGTTGCCGTTCTTTGGGTAATTCGCGACCATAGTGGCAATTCTGTGTCAGGATTAGAAGAAGACCTACCGGGGGAGGAGCAGGACATACGTCTGAACAGTCTGCCAAGGAAGGTGAGCCGTCGTGCTGTAGCGTAAGGATGTGCGAAAGAACGAACCTTTCCGAGACCCATTTCGTCTGCCAGGCAGCCGCCCTTAACTGGACTACCCTCACGTTGAAGCATCCATGCAACACCGATCACCTGATGGGGCATGAGAGCGACCGTCATTCCCGGCATCGTTGAAGTCAGATCGGGAAGTCGAAGCGCGGCCAAAGCCGTTCCAACAGTCTCATTGCCATCAAACATCTCGGCGTTACCGGCGGCGACAAGGAACTTGTCAAGACTATGAATGATAAGCGTTGAGTACGACGAGGTATAGGAGCGAAACGCAACGCACTCGTCAGCTTGTGCTTGAGGGCCGACAAAGGTGTCTCTGCCACGACCGAAGTAATTGCCCTCTTCATCGTAGGGGTCGTCGTCGTATTGATCAGGGCGAGGAGCGAGATCGTTGAGATCGCGCGGCTTCCCGCCTGCGGGCGCCGGAGCCTCAATGGCCGCATTCAGGACGCCGGGCTTGACGTCCTTGGTATCATCGTCGGAGTCGAAGTCCATGAACGGCTCGGCGCGAGGAGTAGGCAGACGAGCCTTTGAGCTGGAGGCGACGGCGTTCGGCGAGCGCTTGATAGCCGTGGGAACGGGGAGTGGCTCCGCCTTGACCGGAGTTCGAGGCGGAACGGCTCGGGAGGATGATGCGACTGGCAACAATGGCTCAGCTGGCTCGTTCTTCACATAACCTCTGAAGGAGAGCGACGAGAAGGAGCCTGTCAGCTCGCTGAGACTATGAATTTGTCGCTCGAGATCGTCCTTCTTTGCTTGTAGCGCGTTGCGTCGGGCGGTGGTGGTAGCCAAGCGGGTTTTATCGCCCTTGGTCTGTCCTGATTTGCGCCGGCTGACCTGGAGATTCTTCTCGACCATCGCCAGTTGCGACTTGATGTCGGCAAGCTCGTCGCGTAGCTTGTCCTTACGAACGGTGACAGAGGTAGGCCCAGAACGATTGGCGAGACTGCTCAAGGGCTTCGACTCAAGTGTCTCGTCTTCCAACTCGAGGGTCTTCTGCCTCTTGAGAGGGCGATTAGATAAGCCTGTAGCGCCGGCATAGTAATCCTCGGAAAGGTCAATCAGATCGTTGGGCTCGGCCTTGATCCTAGCAAGTGGCTCGGCCTTGACGGGTTGCATCGTCGAGTGACTGCGCTTGCGGGCAGGAGAGGTAGCGGTGGAAGGCAAAGGAGGCATGTCTTCCTTCTTGATACGGGGAATAGGACGGGGTCGAGGTCGAGGGTTCTGTATTCGGAACAAGAGTAAATCGATCAGCTTATAAGTCCGGCAAGCTGATCAAAGGAAGGAACTAACGGTGGTTGGTGTGGCTGGGAACGTGGTTCCGCTCTCTCGGACACGAGCATCGCGCATTGCTGCGTGAGTTGGGTGGCTGCGTACGTGACCCTTTTCGCAAGGAATGAGGCGAGGCAGAGAGCAAATGGGGATGAGCATGGACGCACCCGGTACTCATCGAGTGATATACCTCGCTCGCCACCGTTACGGCGGCGTACGGCAGACACAGCACCGTCGCACCCGGTTTCGAGGCAGAGGACGGCGCGGGCTGTGGTTCGTTGGTAAGATCACCGAGGCGCCTAAGATGTGCGCATGCAATGAGGAAAGACTCACGCTCGCCTCGTTCCATCTCGACCGTGAACTGATCACACGTGGTCAGACTTGTGGCGACAAGACAAAGGAAGGGTGACTGACATTGGTATCCTCCGGATTGGTCTGTGCATGAAGCTTTAGCTCGTCCAGATAGAGCTTTACGATAGTAGGATCCTGTGGAGAGAAAAACGCGTCAGTTCAAGGTGAGTCGACGCGACGGGGACGCGACGCGTACCAGGAGGTCGAGGTCGTAGCCTAGCTGCTTCTCAGCAAGAGAAGCGAGCTGCTTCGCGTCGGACATATTTGAGTTCGCTAGTAGTAGGAGTGCAGGATTCGAGCAGTCCGGGGCAATGAGGATGATGGTGGTTTCAAGCGACCTAAACGGCGAAGTTGCACCCCGCGACGGAATAAACGCGCGTTATTTGCGCGTGTTTTCATCTCGCGTGGCGCGCTGCCTCCCACCGGTGCCACACGCAGCCCTGATCCACGTTCTTGGCAGAATCCTGCGAGCCTCGAGGCGTCCCGGGCGCTTATCGATATATAAGTACGAAGCGAATGAGATGCGTCGTATCTGCATCCATCTGGGATCAACCATAAGTTCATACGGACTTGAACTGGACTGGAGCAAGTTCTACAACGACTCGAGCAGGCCTCGGCGTCGGCGGCCGACCGCACCCGATGGCGACGAAACATTATTAGTATTACTCCAACCCGGACCTTCGCTCCAAGCAGTGCCTTTTTAGCAATGTGTAATACCAGATCAACCATAAACTCGATCAGCTCGCAGCAGCATCCTGCTACGAGTGAGGTCATTCGTCGGCGAGAAATGGTGTGAATGCGGCTCTGAGCCGGCCCCAACATGACTATACGACATTATTGACCTGGAGATAGTGACGACTAGAGGAAGACTATACAAATACAACAGCGGTATCCAAAGCAAAAGTAGCAAAAGATCAAAGCAATCCACGAGTACGAGTCTACGAGCGGTCATCTAGAATCTAGCTCCATTCACAGTCCTGGCCGAGCGCATAACAGTAGGCGAATCAAACATAAACGCGTCCGAATCCGAACTGCTGTCCGACTCTCCATCCGAATCATCCTGCTCCTCATACGACGAACCCATACTGTCCACCCTGAACGCATTGACAAACGGCGTTTGAGGCACCTCGGTCAAGCTCGTCTGCTCCGTGCTCTTCGCGAGTATCGCCGCGACGCGGGAGGCGATCTGTTGACTACCTCTCTCCCGGCCCGGTTGCACCGACTTGTGGCGCTGGTAGAAGGTGCTGAGCTCGTGCAGGTTCTGCACCAGATTGCCAAGGTCTTCTTCCATAGGTTCGGCTTCGGCGAGGTACATCACGTCCTCGGGCTCGAAGTCAATCTGCGAGGGACGCGAGGGCAGCTTGCAGGTATCGAAGACGGCCATGACGTTCGCACGACACCTCTCCCTGCGCTGCTCGGGTTGCGGAACACACCAACCAGACGCCTCCGGCACGCCGAAGACTTTCCCGACCGATTCGGCCTCACGCTCCTTGCGCAACGGCTTCATGACCATGCTCATCCGCAGGACCTGTTTAGCCGCAAGACCGCCCGACGACACCACGATGTTCTCTTCAAGCACTTCCAGAGCTTTAGGCGCGAGGTCGGTTTCAAGAAGGCGAAGTAAAGGCATGAGGAGCTCAGAGCCCATGAGCTCTACAGGGTGCCGAGCATCACGCTGCTGGAACAGAACCTTGAGGATCTGCAATGACGAAAGGCGAAGCCATGTCTGCGAGTTTAAAGTGAGGCCAAGCAGCGTAGAAGTGACCGCGGTCCAGTCGTCCGTGCCATAGTGCTCCCGCAAACCGGCGACAGATTGACGCAAGAAGTCATCCTTAGTCCTAAACCGGCCCTTGACGAACGACGTCAAGATTCGGCTGAGACTGGGCCGCCCCTCCTCTTCGGCCAACAGCGCCACGTCCTCCGCAAATTCAACGAGGGTGGGCTCGATGGTGTCCTTCGCCATCGCGTCCAAGCAGCACGGCAGCATTGCTGTGTACAGATCCCGCACACGCCCGATGGACGGTTCGATGAGCCGGCTATCGGCGAACTTGGATAACCGGCGCAGCATCTTGAACGTCGCCTCGCTGGTCTTGGAGGAGCGCAAGCCGACAAGCAACGCGCCCTGCAGTGATGTCGGACCAACCCAGTCCAGCGGGCTCTGTGAGAGCACGGCCTGTACTGTCGCCGGGTCGTCCAAATTGAGGCGCCCTAGCACCGCATCCAGGAGCGCGAGAACCTTGAGGAACTCGTCCTCCACCGTCGTTGACAAGCATGCGCAAGCGCACCAGAAGATCTGGGGTAATAAGCTGGTGTCGCCACGATCACACGATGTGAGGGACGTGAGCGTCTGAAGTAACTCCGTACTGAACGCTTGTACATGCTCGTCCGTCGCAGCGACAGTGTTCGACAAGCGTCCGAGAAGCAACGCCATATCGTTTTGCGTCGACGTGTGCATGAGCGCCCGGAACAGTTGTAGCGAGCGGTATGCGATCGCGCGAATAGAACAGGACGTTCCCCAAAGCACGGCGAGCGAGCCCCACTGCTGACGGAGATTCAGGCATAACGGCTCGAGGAGGTCAAGCACCTGCGAGCAGATGGACTGCATCTTCCTGTCGGATTGCGCAGGCGTATCATCCTCCTTCCACAGCTGCGTCTGCATCTCCGTCTCAAGATTCGCCATAGACGTCTTCAGCGCAGACCGGCTCGGGTACACGGTCCGGTCCGGCATCTCGTCATAGCCGGGTAGCCACGCGCGTAATATCTGCGACAACAAGCGCGCGGCGGCTTCGCGCACGAAGAGCAGCCGGTGGTCTATATGCGTGAAGATGCCGTGCAGGATGACTGGAAGAAGATCCTGGAACTCCCAAAACCTATCGAGGGTGACATCCGCGAGGAAGAGGATGGCAAACTGTCCGGCGCCTAGCGGTTGATGGGGCTGTTCGTTGAAGAGCACGTCGAGATCCGACCAAAACTCGGAGTCCTCGGGATCCGGGAACTCGAGCTTGTGGTCGAGGGTAGGCAGCATCCGAGCAGGCTCAATGAGACCTGTCAGGTCTTCGACGATCTGTCGTCCGATGGCCGAATGTGAGAGCGCGGCGACAATGCGTGAGGAGCATTGCACGTAGGGTATGCTTCCAACCCTCTGCGACTGCTCAAGCAAGAATCGAACCGTCGCTTGACCGTTCGACTGATGCGGTGTGTCCACAAGCCTCGTCCACAGAACCTGGATCGGCTCCGCGTGCGTGTCGGAGAAGCGCACGGTGAGCGCGATGAGGTGGAAGAGTGCCGTGCGGCCGTGTCTAGTGACACCAGACTTGTCGTCTCCCGTCAAGCTAACATTTGGCGTCCAGTACTCGAGGCTCTGGAGAAGGACCAGCGGCGTTGCAGAGACCTCGTATACCCTTGGTAGCCAAGACGCGAACTGCGCGAGCACACCAAGCGCTTCATCAGGATGTTCGCCCGCGAGCACATCCGATATGAGGCGATGCGCGTGCTGATATATGCTAGGAGCCGAACTTCCAACGGCGGCCTCGAAGCGTGAAATGGAGAGCATTCCCGACGACTTCTCGTGTGCCGCCTCAAGGATCTGTAAAGCGAGATTGCGCGCGCGTGCACCGGGGTGGCTGAGGTTGAACAGACCAAGGCAGATGATCTGTGGGAAGCTGAAGCCGTGCGCCGTCGAGTTGACGATGACGTCCGCGACGACCTCGAAGAAGCGCATGCCGCTCGTGTCGAGTTCTTTCATGGTGATAAACGCCAAACGCATTGCCTCTTGCACGATATCCGGGTCGCGCTCGCTGTTCGCCAGTAGAGCTCTCAAGGCTTTCCTGTGGAAGAATTAGGCGTCGGAGATCCGGCATTATGCGGTGAAACGTACCGGCCACCGGCTTGAACCATCTCGTCCATAAGAGCGAGGAAGGAGTGTATGCGCGCAAGGGTAGCCTTGGCGTCAAGAGGGCGTAGATACTCATGCGAGATCGATGGGTCGAGGGGCGAGCTTGACGAGTTTTCAGGCGGATAGTATGCCTTGGCCTAAACAGTAGCTATCAGCACTTACACAGTGGACAATACTACATCTCACTCACGCAAAGAGCAGCCATAGCGCCCACAGCCGCCTTACTCAACAACTTGCTCTCTTTCTGGAACAACGCGACCGCTTCCCCTCGTTCCGCCGGACTCGCAACATGGTTCATCGCCGCCCTCTGCATAATAACCAACCTCTGCGTCACGCCCTCCGACTGCCTTCCGATCTGACACCAATCCTCGCACAACCTGTACAACGACAGATGCATATGCGCCGGCACGAACCGGTCCGTATCCTTCAGCGTGGTAAGACCATCGAACAAGCGCTCGACCGTCCCGCAGAAGTACCGCCGCATACGCTGCAGCTTGAACTGATCGCGCGATTCGGGCGCAGTGAGGAACCCCTGCGTGATGCGCACGAACTTCAGGACTGGTGCGAGCGCTGCCTGACGCATGCTGAACCGCGGATCTTGTAGACAATGCGCAGTGAGGAAGAATATCCGCGCGATGGCCGTGAATAGGCGCTCTTGCCGCCTCGTTCTTTCCGGCCCGGTATACCCGCCTTTCAACCGGGGCTCGTCCAACTGTCGACTCAGCAAGTTGCCCATATCCTCCAGTAAAGCCGGATAGCTCTTGGCCGGCAACGCGCTGATGCAGTACACAGCCGCATCCCTGAACGACGACAATTCGGAGTCGAGGAACGGCGTGAGGTATCGAACGAGTCCGCGCGTCGTGGTCCACTTCTCCCTCTCACTCTCGACTTGTGACGGCGCCCGATTATGCGCGCGAATATCGACCAGCTGGAACGTCCTATCGAGGATCGAAGCGAACGAGCACAGCATCTTGGTCCACATATACCACTGCCCGCTCAAGCTCTTGTTATCAGGCATCGGCCGCTGTCCATCCGGTCTCGCAGACTGCGGCGTGGGCATTTTCGTGCTCAAGCCTGCCATGACGGATATCGTAGAGTGGAAGCGTGTCTCGGCAGCGACGAGCGTTGCGCGGAGGATATTGAGTGCGCCGGTAGAGTACGGTGCGTCGTTATTGGTGAAGCGGTGCATAAGGTCGGGATAGACCCATTGCCAGATCATTCTGTCCCGGGCATCGTCGCTGTCCGCTATCCTCAACACCACATCTTCCTTCCCGCTATCCCTCCACCTCTGCAACCTCTCTAGATCGCTCGGCTCCAGCACATGTGCGAAGCGCTCGCATAGGATCGGAGGTTCGCCTGCTGTACCATGGAAAAGGTCGACAATGCGCACGTCCAGTTCGCCAGCGACTGATTTGGGGAAGATATGCTCGCACGAGCGTCCGACGAGTCTCAAGACGCGTACGCCGATGGAGTTGATTGTGCGGCTGGTATGACACAACAAGAACAGCGCGCCCGCCTCAATCTCGTCCAGCCTATCCAAAATCGCCTTCGCATCCTCGTCGCTAAAGTCCTCCGGTTTGCCCTCCAAGATCTTCCCCACCCAGCCGTCCACAAGCCCGACCCACAGGTTCAACAACCTCGAGTTCTCGTATACGAGCTTGGTAGCGGATCCTTCCGACGCGATGGAGGTGGGTCCGAAGAGGAAGGCTGCGAACTTGTCGAGGACTGTGATGGCGTGTTGTGGTTCGGCCATGAAGCGGCGTAAAGCTTGCACAGCGGCTTCGCATACGAGTGGTTCGACATGGATTACGCCGCGCAGGAGCATATCGATCGCGTCGCGCAGCGGTAAGCTCGAATGTAGAACGCGTGGCCAAGCCTGGAAGCACGTTTGAAGCATGCTGACTTGCGCAAACAAGCTGTTCGAGTACGCGAACGTCCCGTCCGGGTGCCTCCGTATGATGTACGAGTGCGTCTCCTCGTACGAAGGATTCAGCCGCCCAGCGCTCCACTGCTCGTCGAAGATACTCATGTTTCCCACGGCGTTGGCGCATGAGACGGCGATGTGGGAGAGCAGCACGCCCAACCGTTCGAAGAAGTCTTCCATCCCTGGTCGCGAGAGAAGTGTAGGCGGCATGAAGTCCGATGAGGACGGGTAGTCGTGCCAAGAGGGTGCTCCACTGAAGTCGCAGTTGCTCGGCCAGACGGGGATCTGCTCGTCGCGCTCCATCAGGTGCAGCGTCAACAGTATAGCCTGCACAGATATACTGAGCCTCTCCGGGCTCAACACGCTCTGTATCCCTCCCGCGCCCATGCCGAGTACCGCGCTCTCTTGCATAAGCCCGAATAGCACGTCGACACCAAAGTCGAAGTGCCGTGCGAAGACGAAGTGGACGATGTACGTGAAGGGCTCCAAGTGGTCTTCGGGAGGAAAGATGGCGGGGCGGTTCGGGGGGAAGAAATGCTTGAGGAGCGTCTCCATGCGCGTTGTTGAGGCCGACATGGACTCGCGGCAGCGGAACATGTATGTCCATATTAGGCGCATCATGCCGTTCATGATGGTCACCCTATATGGTTTCTCCTACGTATGGACGACAAATTCAATACTGAGATCGAGATGATGATGTATGGAAGCGGAGTTTACCTTGAGCTTGTTCAAGCCGGCGTCGAAACAGGCCATCCAGTTACGATGGAAGAACTCGGCCGGGGCAACACATAGCGTGACGACGACCAGCGTGTATGCTATCTGCCAGTATCGCGGCTTGCTTGCAAGATCGCGCGCTTTCGGGTGGATCATCTCGATAGCTTTCGCCCACTGTGGATAGTTGACTTCCGCTTGTGCCGTCTAAACGTACTTATGATCAGCATGATGCGTGCAGTGATACATAACAAGTTCTGACCTTGGCTACGGGATGTAAGAGCTGCACCAAAGTCTCTGCGAATGCCGATTTAAATCGGAAGCCGTGTGCGTTGTCAAACGCTTTCGCGAGGGTCTCCATGAACTCTGCCCCCTCCTCGAACGATTCCAGAGGCCATACCTGAGATGATTACGTGTCAGGATGCATGACTGCGACATCGACTGTACGCACTCTCACTTTGATCTGAACGTGCTTGAGGCCTCTGACAAGGTTCTCAAAGCGCATGTCCATGTCCTTAAGCACTTGACCAGACATGACGGGAGCGAGCTCTGACAAGAACCGGTCCGTGACACTCGTAAACCTGTACACAGAATCAGCATTACCATCTTTATCATAGCATACATTGAACAATCGCACCGAGTGTTGGCAAGATGGCCTAACAACGTCGCGCAAAGCTCTGCGTTCGCTTGATGGTTCGCGTTCTGTGCTAGCATCTTCACATCTGGTCTCCTGAACTGCTCGAACGTCGTCTTTTCGAGGTTGTACCCCAATGCATCGCCCAACGCGTCCTTACTAAGCCCCTGCATGACCACGATCAACGCCCTGCACATCACGTAGATGGTCGCCAGACTCTTGCGCTCATTAAGTATGAACATAGTATCCTGTGACCGGACACCGGCGCGCAGAGAGATAGGAGAGGTATTCGAGTGGTGGCGTAGGATGTCGTCAGACACGGGCTCTTGTGTGCGCCTCCACCGCATAACCGAGTCGACCACAGATTTGGCGTTCTTCTGCCCCAAACGACCAAGTGTCTGAAGAATGTCGTCGAACTGCGGATCGATGTTCGGGCCCATAAAGTCCTTCAACGCCGGTTCATGATCGAGGTTCTCGCGTAGAAACGTGTCGATCTTAGCCTCTGCCGCTGAAGCGAAGCGGATGAAGACTGCGTGCAACGCGTACTCGGCCGGTGTCCTTGGATCGGGCTCGACTCGGTCATCGTTGTACTCCGATACGTCCGCAGATTCGAAACGCGCGGCAGTCCTGGAAGATAGCTTCGGCACGGGCGGCGGAGAGCTCCTGGACCCATAGTCGCTACCGGCGTCCGAGTAATGAAGTGAACCGGTGTATGAATGCCCCGAGCGGACCGGAGCGTGACCCTTGGAGCGTGGTGTCTGGCGAGCAGAGCGAAAGTCGGTCGAGCCAGGCGTGGCAGGACGCGCCTGAGGCGGGCTCATGCCATCCTGCGGTCGACTGCGGGAGGCAGATGGCACATGTGCGAGAGACGAGTTTGAGCGGTTGAACGGGTTCTTGAGGGCGGGGTAGCTGCTGTGATCGAGGGGCGGGAGCGGGGGCAGGTCCTGGGTCTTGCTGCTCCCGCTCTTGAACGCGTTCCTGATCGACGCAAAGGACGACTTCTTCGTCGGCGCAGGCGTGGTGGGCGCCGCGACGGACGTCTGGGACGAGTGGCCGAAGACCTGCTTCGGCCGAGATGCCGCGCGCGCTGAGCCCGTGCTCTCCTCCGACGTCACGCTGTCGTTCCTCGCGTGCCCGAAGCTGGTCGGCGCGAAAGAGTTGGTCGTCGACGTCGGCGACTCCTGCCCACCCCCGCTCCCCCCGAAACTCCCAAATCCAGAACCGGAACTTCCAAATCCAAAGCCAGCAGGACGGCCAAACGGTATCGGCGCGTGAAAGTCCTCCTCCTCAAAGTCTGCATATGCCTGTAAGCTGATGTCATGATACATAAAAGTAGTCTTGTATGCGCACCGGGGATAGTAATCTGGATGCCTTCGCTCATCGTTGAATACCTGAGCACCTCAACTCCTCATATACCGTGCACACCCTCGATGCAGTCGCCCAGAGAGACGCGTGAACCCAAGAAAGACTGGCGCAGTCGCGGTCGTGTGCAGAAAGTGCTCAAACAAGATGTCTTGTTGCCACTTGATGCTAACTTGTCAAGATGCTCACACCCGCACCTCGCTGCTTGAGGCTGTGCCTATTGAAAACGATTCTATGGCCGCCTGGCGAAATGGCATCGCGTCTGACTACGACTGTGTTATCAGGAGATTGCAGGTTCGACCCCTGCGGTGGTCAATCTAAGGCAATGAACGAATCCTTTTGCTCCGGACACGTTCCACTTTGCAACCTGCCATCGCGACATCTCCGCGTTCGCCTCGCGAGCGGAACACTCGCGACTGGTCCGCCATGGCCATCTTGCGCACAACCTCCACCGCCAACTCGGTCCACCTCACCACGAACGGCGTGAAGCTACAGCCGCCTGCCGCTATGCCTAATCCCGAGAAGTACCGTGGCGCCGTTGTTGAGGTGCGTCTTCGCGTTAAAGCGCTCGATCGTACCATACTCACCGGGCGTCCTAGGACCTCCAATTACCACCAGCCTTTGCTTTGCCTCGGTCTGAGCTCGTGTCTAGGGCTATCGAGCTCGCGTACGACCGCGACTTCTCGCATATACCGTGTGTCTACTGCTCCTCGCTATCCCATCCGTTCTCACGGTTTCTGCAGAGTGCTCGGGCAGAACAAGAAGCCATTGGGCTATGTCGAGGTAGCGGATCTGAAGAAGAAGTGGGAGGCAGGCGAAATGAACCCAGTACGCACTATAAAGCAACTTCGGTTCTAGCTTACAAGGCTCACCTCGAGATAGATGGACAAGATCGAGAAGTACATGACCAAGTTCAAGAGGAGCGTCGAGACGAACCCGTACACGGTCATTACGCCTGCGACGGAGCTGGACGAGCTGGAGGTGTTCTTGCAGGATAACATCTTTGCACTTGGTACGCCATGCCATATACTGCTTGAGCGAGTCTTGACTCAGATGGTTCTGCAGTCACGGATGCGTCGCGCAAATTCGTCCTCGCAGTCGCAACATCTCAAGATCTCGAAGTGCGTAGCCTTCAATCGGTGCCAAATTCCATTATCTGACCAGTATCTTCAGAACTTCGTGCAAAGGCGAGGCGCCTGACCGCCGCACTTTACCCGTCTTCACCGGTCCCGATCCGAACTGGTTTCGCATAGACACTACTCTGGTTCCCATCCGCTTCTCCCTCTCGTCAATGCTTTGCTCAGCTCTCTGTCGTCGTTTCGCACGTATATCCATCGCTCAGCATGTATCATAATACTAGGGTGCTGCTTTTCCTCTGATGCAGCAAGTACTTTTGGCTTCAACGCCGCCTCCTTTGCCAGACACTAACCCGGAAAGAAGGATCTTGGAGAATCTAAGGATATTCAACATTCGCTTGCCATCGAACTGACCTCCCATCGCCGAACTCTACAACGCTCGACGTCGAGCGTCGTAACTGAGCAAGTGTTCACTTCCTTTTCTGCTGTGATGGAATCTCCGTACCTTGATCGCCAATAGAACGCATCCCCCAGGCTACCAACACGGTATACCAAGCCCGCCATGTTTCGACCTCTCGAGCTTGCTTCGGACCATCTAAGGCAATATGCAGCAGTTCACTCTGGTCGCTCAAAGCAACGTGACGGAAGGCTCGCTCCGTCTCTATTGACCATTGACAACTTGACCGCGTGGTTCCTGACATCCGGGCATTTCCGCCCTTCGCCTGTCAGCGCCACCACTCCCCCCCGTGCCCCCCGCCGTCCCGCCTGTGAAGTCGACGGCATGTACATCCCGCAACTCATGCACTTGAACGCGATCGGAGCATGCGCTTCCGGTCCGCGGAAGACAGGATGTGCTCGGGGTCTATGCGTCGAGTACATAAACGCCGCTCGATTGACTGAGCCTCCTCAGGATCTCCCTTCGAATTCCTTTTCGGTTTCGACCGCTCATCGCCATGAAGTTCATCTCCGCCGCCACCGCCCTTTCCGCCGTACTTGCTGCTAAGGGCGCTGCTACTGGCAGCGGTGAAGCCTGTGGTCCGATTACCAGGGGACTGGCCAACTACGATCGTCCTTTCGTCCTGCCCCTTTACAACGCCTGCCTCAACTCGCTCGACAGCACGCTCGAGGCCCACGAGAACCCATGGATCAGCAAGACCTGTGTGGCAGCTGCCATCGCGGCTACGGTGAGTACATCATTGACTCTCGTTCTACCGTTCACTTCCTGATTGTAAACCCAATGCATAGGCCGATGAGATGGGCCGTGGTCTCACGTGCGACCACTACGAGAACGTGACGGAGCGCTCGACTTGGCCGAGCTTGGACTACAACGTCTACGCGTCCATCGTTGGCGATTGCGCCTGGGCTTCAGGAGGTTGCCCGATCACGCAGCAGAACTTCATCGACCTTATTTATGGTACTATCTCTGAGACGAGCGGTGGACCCTACCCCGAGTACGTACCTTGTGCATCCAAGCGAGGGTTGCCTGGGATACTCACATCCCGATAGCTCCGCTAACACGCTCATCACCTACTACCTTGACCCGATCTTCACCTGGACGGCTTTCGACGCCTCTCAGGGTATCCCTTACCTTAACTTCAACGACTGTGAGTTGCACTGGGTTGCTTTCTGACATGCGTGTGCTAACATCAATACCTCCTAGGGCTTCACTGGTCTGGCCCTTACAGTCACTGCTACCCGTATGCATGCGACTAGATGCCAAGTTCACGTATGCACTCGTTTGGGACAATATCTTGCTTGGGTTTAGGACTACTCTGTAATGGACATTGAGATATTCTTCCGATCGGCGTGTTGATACCCTCGTTACTACAGTTCAAGTTCGGTATCCAATACTACATACTTACTAATCTGGCGTTGCCATTGATTGTCCCTGGCTGGTATCATACTTAGTGTTGCTCCTGATCTCGTTCGAGCCTGAGGCCTGAGCCCTTCTAGGTGCGTAAGTCGTGGCGCGCAACAACGCGCTACGCAAGAGAGCCGGCGTCCATGCTTCGGCAATGTCCGATTCGCGCGATCAACGTGCTGGTCTCCGAAGAATGAAGCTTGTCCTCGACTACCAGGACGTTCGCGGCGGAGTACTCATTTTACCACGATCACCGGCATACTCTAGCTACTTTCTTTTTTAAGCTTGGTACGGTAGTAGAGCATCCTCCCCAACCTAGTACATGCTTCTTTCACGCATTGCAGGCGAAGAATTCGTCGCCGCGTCAGACCCATCGGAGAGAGGACACGACTTGCAGCCTTTCTGACAGTGCATTGATCACGCCTTTCTCAACCTGTATGAGCATTGCTTACAGGTTTTATGCGTTTTCCTCGTCGCACTAATGTTGTGCTTGAGATTGCCCTATCACTCAGCAGAAGTTCATGGACCTCGTCTATTGCGCTGACGTGGAGAACGCGGATTATCCGTGTTTGAACAAGTCGGGTAATGCATATCCCATTCGTTCTAACCGCTAGGCTCGATATTGCTAGCAGAATAGCACCAACCAGAGAACTTGTCAAATACGCCCTCGACAGATCCATTCCTCATGCATTGCAGTCAGAAGGGTGCCCGAGCCTCTGAATGCGTCCATGGCTTTGTTCGTCATCATGATGTATGGTTCGTATCTAAGACTTTCACTCGTAGTAAAACGCATACTGACAGGTTGTGTTGTTGCATCAGTGCTTCGGGCTTCGACCCCCACTACCCGACTTCGGCTACTTTACAAGGCCTCAGACGCGCGATTCATCGCGCCATTCCCTTGCATATCCCGCATACGCTTACTGGTGGTGATACCACTTGCACGTCTATGCGACCTGGCACCCGAGTCGCCTTGTGTGAGTCGTTGTTCCTTGCCTTACCAAGTGGCCATATGACACATCGCCATTAGGCAGGGCGTGGCTATAGGATCATCATGCACCAATAAGCATTGAGTCAGGCTTGGTCTTAGCCCCACATCACCGAGTGGGTCTGTTCGATAACTGCTGTGATCCTGTATGCGGACAGACGTCAACATTCGACAATGATCAACGAGGATTGCGCTTGGCGTTGTATCTCAGCCGGTCGCAAGCGATGAAAGCCACATGCGTCTCTGACTCGGCTGGGATGCCTATGGCGCATAAGTATAACTCAAGGTGGTCTCGTGGAAACACATCCTCACCCACAACACTTCAGACCCTCGCACGCACGTTTCATCATGTCCGGTTACAAGAGCTTTGCGATCGTCGGGGCAGGCTTGATCGGCGGCACAATCGCTGAGGAGCTTCTCAAGGCGAAGACGGAGGGTGTCGTCGACAAGATTGTCCTCCTTTCGCGGCCGGTGAGTGACCTTCGACATAGCCATGTGTTCGTGAGGAGCTCATGCTTGGCTGGCTGTAGAACTCCGTCAGCAAGCTCGACACGTATTCCGCTCGTGGAGCGACTGTTGTTCCTGTCGAGGATTACTCTTCCGTACAGGAGGTATCCAAAGCGTTATCTGGCGTGGAAGTGGTCTTCTCTACGCTCTCGCACCTGGTGCTTGACTTGGAGTTGCCTATCGCCGAAGCAGCCAAAGCAGCGGGCGCGCAACTCTTCGTCCCCTCCGAGTACGGCTTGTCTACGGACGGCCATACGAATGGTATACTCGCTAGCAAGGCTGCCGTGGACAAGCAGATCCGCGCATTGGGTATCGCGACTACTCGCTTCTTCGTCGGCATGTTTGGCGACATCATCTGGTCTCCATTCCTTGGCCTCGATTTGAAGGGCACCGTCTTGATAGGCGGCGATGGAAGCGCCAAAGTGTCCTTTACGTCTACGGAGGATATCGGTCGGTTCGTCGTCTTCGTGCTGACGAAGCTATCGCGCGAGGAGGTTAAGAACCGGACGTTCCGCATCGAGGGGGAGCGCACGGTGAGTTGTTCTGCTCACCCATAGTAACGCAAGGCTAAGCTAATCGCCCCATCTATCTCAGTCTTACAACGACATCTTTGCGGCATACGAAAAGAAGCATGGGGTTCAGGTCACAGTCCAGCATGTACCCATTGAGGATATGGAGGCAACTGTTGCCAAGGACTCGCATGACGTGGTCACTTACCTGCGTTTGGCGTGGGCGAAAGGAGCAGGAACTGTAGGATCGCCTTTGGACAATGGGGTCTTCCCTGACTGGAACCCAAGGCCCGTGATTCACTATCTGTAATGGATTCCGCGTTGGTTGAACAGTGGGCGTGCACCCCGAGTATCCATAATGTATAGACTAGAGCGGAACAAGTACTAGCTTCTGTATGAATTACGTCCGAGCCGGGACCGGTGAGCGCCACGTACAAGCGGCGCCAGCAGCGACGCGGGTTGAATGCCTCGGATACACGCATCCCGCTCACCAAGTGCTGCAAAGCCTGGTCTTGAGAAGACCGTGTCCACAACCAGCGATCAACGATACGGAAGACGATATGGGGGATATTACTAGTGATACATACAGTGATTGAAGGAGGGTTGCGAGACAAGCGAAAAACCAAGGTATGTCGAAAGCAGAGAGCGGATGAAATGAAGGGTGGGGATAGCGCACGAGAACAGCGCGGACGGGGTATCAGACAGACGCACGTATGTACAAAACCCCACAGGCGGATGTTCATGACCACGGACCGTGTATGTGCAGGATTCAAGAGTCCCAAACAAGCGAAGAATGAGTGGCGAGACAGCAGCGAATTCCAATTAGCAGAGCTGGGATGATGGTAAGAGAACCATAGCGAGGTTGTAGAGAGCGTGAACACGAGGCGTAACACTGGCGTGGGGGCGTAGGCAGTCAGAGAAAGAATATGTAACGGTCATCGTAGGCGCATGAGCCTGAGCATTTCATTCCGAACGACGGGTATATGTCCTACGCAATCATCAGTTAGGCACATGGCCAAAACGAGGCATGCAATTACATACCAAATACGAAAAACGGTCCCCAGCCAGCCAGTACAAGGGCGACATGCTGAGTGCCGAAGGATGTAGGAGCATCAGGGTGGTGCGCAAGATCGACCCAAGTCGTCAAGCCGGCCAAGATGATGATGCAGATGAAGACACTACAATATGAGCGTCAGTATTACTCGCCATGAGTGTTTGCTCGACTGGACACTCTTACAACTGCAGGGCGACTATATGCCATAATGCGCCACTCACAAGTCCAGAGACAGCAAGGGATGAATCGCTTCGTTTTTGTCGCAGTGCTACGCGTTTTCATTAGTAAATGGCCGGGACGATCAGAGGGAATATGCCCACAGAATCGAGCAAATGTGGATGGCGAGCGTGCCGCTTCTATCACACGGGGCTCTTCTCGGATTGTAAAATCCACCTTGCTGTCATTCATGCCCATAACCGAGTATGCATGTCGTCCAGAGCCATGATAGGGCACGGTTTCAATTTCAACCGTCGACGTAGCATCGTCCTCTTCTTCCTCTTCCTCCAGTCTGCCCTCAACCTTATCCGGATACCATCGTTGTGCAATGCTGGATCCAACGGGTGGATACACGTAGGGATCGGGCATGGGCTCGACCGTATGGTCGCTGGATGGTGCGAGCGTTGTCACACTTGGACGACGTGAGTTGTCGACGCTAGCGATGCTTGTCCGACGAGGAAGATGAAAACCGCGCATGGCAGCACTACCCACGTCGAAGGATACACGTTCGCGTGATGGTGAAGTGGGCGATATCGGCGAAGAGACAGCTCGAGGACCAAAGCCGTACATCCACTCAAATGAGCCAGGGTCAAACGAAGGGGTATACGGGGGTGAGGTCGGTTCGGGTGCGGTAGACGGCCGTTGAAGTGTTTGCTTCGTTGGTGCGAATGTTATGGGCGAAGCTGAGGACGTGCGTGACGGAATGCTCCGTGAAGATGGCGTGGGGGATGAAGACGTGCGCCGATGCATGAAGGGCGGTGGTGGCGGCATAGAAATCTCAGGTGTTACGTGTGTCGCGTCGGTCGAGGCAACCGTGTTGATTGTCCCCGGAGAGGGAGGGAAGACAGAGCTTGTAGCCGAGCGGGGTATCGCCAGAGCAGCAAGACCCCGCAGTCCGGTGCCGGCAGTGGCCCGCCTCTCATGAGTATTGGGCGGGTGAAGTTTCAAGCTTGGCGGGCGCCCACGCTGAGAAGCGCGAGAAGGCTGCGCGGAGTTTCTTCGCTCTTTCGCAGTAAGAGGTCTGGGCGATAGATGAGGCTCTTGGTCTTGCTGTTGTGAGCGAAGCTTGCGCGCTTGAGCGGACACAGCGACGATTCGTCGTGCTGTGATGACTGAGAGCCCAAGGCAAGGGACGGCTACGACAAGGGGCGCGCCCGCGTAGCTGAAGACTCTAGGCCTATAGAAACCGGGTTAGCATATGGTTCGTAGAGGAGGACCAAATCCGAGAAGATTCAGAGTGTGATCCCGAGCTCTTCTCGGCCGCATAAGGTCACCTGCGTCTTCGTGCCATCTCGTAAATCAAAGACTCCGAAGAAAATGCCGGACTCTTCGGGCCAGCGTGTGACAAGAAGGGATATTCAATATGACTTACCATAGTGGGCGTGTAACATCACAGTGAAGATCCTCCGTGGGTTGAAAGGCGTCGTACTTGAGAGATACAACCAGGAAGGTGATAGTAGCCAGTAGCGGCCAGATGCCAACAAAGATAATGTATATAGGTCTCCATGCAAGCGGGCTACCGGGCCTTATACCACGTTCGTCAGCGCCTGGGGTGCCGTCGGGAAGAGATAACGATAGCGTACCGTCGGTCATTCGGGGACACTTTCGTGGGGTTCGCAACAATGGCATAGGTGCCGTATGTGAGGCAAGCGCAGATGCCGCTAAGCAAGTAAGACCCAATTGCTGGGATAATGGCCTGAGCAAGGCAGAACGCGCGAGGCATATTCATCGGTTTCATGAGCCAGATAATGCCTAATACGATGCGTGGGGTCAGCAAAGAGGTGCCGGTCATAACACGACTGATATCTCACCGAGCGCAAAGATTCCTTCCATGAACGTTACAACTAGCCCGTAAAGTGTTTGTGCCCACCAGACGCCAGTAGCCATCGAGAAGGGAATTAGGACCAGCCATGAAGCCGGAATGGCTATGAGTTGCGTCAGCTAGCAATGCGGGGAAGAGTGGATGATGGAACGCGCCTGTGAGGGTCAATATAAACCAAACCACTCTAAGAGCCAGAGACGGCGACATGAGGGAGATTCGGCCCTCCGGGAGTAGGCTGGAGGGCCGTCAGGGTATATGGGTAGTGGTGGTTAGATGCTAAGCAGCATGCGTGCCTTCCCCAATGTCGGCATCCGTTTCTCGGTTAGTCGGGAGATGAAATTGAGTTTTAAAGAGGCCGGCGGCAAGCTTGATCGACACGAGGTGACGACGTTGACGAGCACGGCAACGGCGCTTGTTCCTGACGGCGACCACCAAATCTCATTTCCGGTCATCCGTTGCTGTGGTCCTATTAAAGAGGTGTGGCACCATGCAGGACTCCCGTGTATGTGAGGGTACAGTCTCAGTGAACAAATACGCTGAAAAGGTAGCATCGTACGCAATCAGGCTTTCTACGGCGCGGCGATAGCTAGCGTCGGCGCCGACCGTGATCGCGATCCATGAGCCGTACTCGCCGGATGCAGAAAAACGTTTTCCCATGGCCACGGTTCGCATTCAATACCACTGTATAACGTGTCCCGGCGTTCTACGGTGAGGTGCAAATAGGTTGAGTATCTAGACTGTGATCCGGTGCACTATACTATCCTCAGTCCTCAAGGCCCTGCTTTGTCTCGACGGTCTCCCTAAGCGGCGTCTGTCCACCCACAGCATTCACCACACCACCCACTATCTTCTCTGTTTGCCCGACCTGACTTTCGCCACTCGACGTGCGCTCCTTGGGCACACCATCGCTTTCCTCTGGTGCTATTCGCTGCAGAGTCACCTTGACTTCAATGAGCGCAGAGCCAAGCCCGATGGCGAAGTCCAGGTCTGATTTCGCGAGTGTCAGCGTGAATGGCTCGTACGCATTCGCCGCGGATGGCGGCGGGAGGTGGAATGCTGGGATAAGCCAAAACCAAGCCATGAACACCTTTCCTAAGTAAATCTTGAAGCGGACTTCGCGGTTCGCGTCGATTGGGACGCCCTCGCCGTTCGCTTTCGACTGGAGTGTTTCTGTCACGATCTTGCCTTCGCGAGCCTGCAACATAGCATTAGCTCATGAACTTATTTGATGAGATAAAGACCGGTACCTCCTTGTCCGCGACAACGGATAGCCGATCGAAGCTGCGAACCATCTTCGACTTATCCCAGTCCCCGTCATGGAAGACATGTTGTATCTCCTTTCTGAGATCAGTCTGCATTTCATTGGGCATAGTCCCTCCTCCCTCTCGTCTTCTCCCCATACCGCCAATCCCTTGCTCGCGGCTCCACCGTTCCCACCGTTCGAGCGTTTCCACGAACTGGTCGTCGTATCGTGCGACGCTGACCCATAGATCACCCGCTCCGCCGTTACCGCCGGGCGGCGCCGGTTTAGCGCTCCAGCGCTCGAGAAGCGCGCTTGCGGCCTTGACGACGGAAAGTTTTACGCCTTTCGTCTCACGCATGCGCACCTGCACGTCGAGCACGCGGGCGCGCGCTTGTGATGTTGGGGGATCGTAGTCTGGCTTCGTGGGCGGATAAGGGAGCGGGGGCCAAAAGCCTGCGGGGCCTTCATCCGCCAGTAAGAGACTCCAATACCACAGCCAACGCCGTTGAGACGGTATGGACACGCCCGCGCGACCTTTTTTTGGCGGGGGGCCGGGTGCAGAAGCCTCTTGCGGCGCAGGTTCCTCGTCCGAAGAGCTGGATGACGACGACGATGACGAAGAGGAGGATGATTCGGCACGCATACGCCGTTGCGTGTGCAGATTCAATACATTGGCCAGACTCGCTTGCTTTGATTTAATAGAAGCAGCGGGTGTTGTTGGCGAGGAGACTTCTGGCGAGACGCCCGACGCAGGTGACTCGACACGTACCGCCTTGTCGAGGACGGGACCAGCAGTCACAGTGACGGTCGAGTCGCTGGCAGATGCAAAGTCCTGGGATGCGATGCCGTTGCCGGCCGCGCGCTCGGTTGCGTTTGGGGAATCTGTCGATAATGACGGCTGGCTATGGGTCGAGGGTATCTTGTCCGGAGGAAGTGACGTGGTACTGGCGCTAGCGCCAACTCCGTGAATGCTCTCGTCTGTGTCCGTGCCCGCATTATCATCAGCGGGTTGGTGTGCTTCATCCTCAGGCATCTCGTTCATGTACTCCTCCGCACGTTCCATGGCATACTCCTTCTTTGCCTCAGACTCCTGCGCTGATTCCAAATTCGCAGCCATGGGAATGGCAGTGCTACTCTCTGGATCAGCGTTCGGCGGGACAAGAGGCTTAAGCTGGTCCAGCTTGACACGCTCCTTCTTCGAGTAGTTGCTTTGACGAGTTGGTGGAGTCGGATCGATGTCGAGTGAGAGGAGATATGCGCACGCCAGTGTACCGGAACGACCCTTACCAGCTATATCATCTCAGTAGGAGTTATCGCGTATATGAGCATCATGAAGTACCTTTGCAGTGGCAAACCACCACACGATCCGGGCCGCCGTCAAGCCAGAGACGCATCTCGCGTGCGGCGAGCGGGAGGATTGCCAAGGGAGGAGCACTTCGAAGAGATGAGTCGCCTGACTATGAGCCGAAGTATGATAGCGCACTGGTGATCTGGAAACGGGTATCTGCTGACTCTCCCATGGAAGATCTCGGGATTGTAGGAGTTCTCCTGTGAGTCGTGGCGCCCGCCGCTTCAGTGGCACAGCTTCAGAAGCATTATGAGGCGAAGCACACCTTCACTGGACAGAAGTTGAATACCCAGTATTTGTCTTTGTGCCTAGCTCATAGTCTGTATCAACAATTGCCATGCAAATGATCGACATGAAGTACCTGTGATCAAGAAACTTCTGCGCGTCCTCGCGGCGATTGCGGTATAGACCTTCCATTCCTACGGCCGGGTAGCCCATCACGATGACTTGGTCGGTAATGTATGCCAAGTCTACCCGGCAAAATACGGTTCAACTTCTGGATCGAAGAAACGATTCCGGTAGATGTGGCGTACCGAGCTCGACGTCGAGTTCACTATCATGGAATCGTGCTTTGTTGCCTGAGACGAGGCGGCGGACGTAGTCTGTCATGCTATTGTACTTGCTTGTGGTTGGGATGGAAGAGCAAAAATGGGATTAGCATTGCGGCTGTGGGCATCAACTGTCCGAGGGGCGGGCGGTGGCAGTTGGGATCATGACGTCGGCGGAAACGAACTGGGAGCGCGCCTACGCGCGTGTCGCGTGCTCGACGCGTCGCGACGCGTCTTGCCGTGAACTTCCATGACCTTGTCATGCCCAGTCGTGCATCCTCTCCCGTCCCTGAGCCTTCCGACCCGAAGCCCATCCGGAAGCTCCAGCAGTCACTCATCAACCGCATAGCCGCAGGAGAGGTACGGCTATATTATTATATGAATATGTGAACCTCGGTACTGAGAACGCCGCGAGATCATACATAGACCCTCGAGCGCGCTTAAAGAGCTGATTGAGAATTGCCTCGATGCTGGAGCGAAGTCTATCAAGGTAACCGTCAAGGATGGGGGCTTGAAGCTCCTACAGATTCAGGATGACGGGTGCGGAATCAAGGTGATACTACCAGAGCTATTATGCATGCATGCGTCTCATCAAGTCAAGTAGAAAGCAGATCTACCTATCCTAGCGCAACGCTTCACCACATCCAAACTGTCGAAATATGACGATCTTCAGCGTCTCACGACGTATGGCTTTCGTGGTGAAGCCCTTGCATCCATCTCGCATGTTGCGCACTTGACCGTCATCACGAAGACCAAGAAGGATAACTGTGCGTGGAGGTGCGTAATGTGCGTACTGGTTCCTGATTAAGGCTCATGTCGAGCTCCCGTCAGAGCTAGCTACAGTGAAGGCGTCCTTGTAGCGGCGAAGACAGGCGCTTCAGCTGAGCCCAAACCTACCGCGGGGAACGACGGCACGACTATCATGGTGCGCACACTACACGACTCCCTAGCATATCTCAATAATCATAACTTGCCAGGTTGAAGACCTGTTCTATAATGCGCCCCAACGACTATCGGCCCTGCGTGCTAGTGCAGAAGAGTACCGCCACATCGCCGATGTCGTAGAGAAGTACTCAATCCATAATGCCTCCGTCTCGTTCACCCTCAAGAAGGTGCATCCACCGCGTTGACCCTTTACCGGCACATTCTGACTCACAGTCAGGTCGGGACATCGTCTCCCGATGTTTTGATGCCTGCAAATTCGACAACGCCACAAGCCATCAGTAGTATCTACGGCCAGAGCGTGGCGAAGTCCCTTCTTAATGCAAGCATCACCGCAAAGGCTTCAAACTTCAAGAAGCGAAAACGTATCAGGCGCGACGACGAAGAGGTAGAAGACTCTGAACCAGAACGCGAGGCAGAGCGCCCAGGCGCATGGAAGGCGGAGGTGCACTTCACCAACGCGAATTACCACGCGAAGAAGACGGCGTTTCTGCTCTTCATCAATCGTATGGTCCTTTCTGTGACACTTTTCACCTACCGCTGACGCGAGCTCAGATCGTCTCGTGGAGTCGCCACGCATGAAGCGCGCCATCGAGGCGGTTTACACTGGCGTCTTACCCAAGGGAACCTCGCCATTTGTCTATCTCAGGTTAGTAAACAAGGTTACACGTCAATATACTATGCACTCATTCCTCGAGTAGCTTGGAACTCGACCCCGCTACCGTCGACCCCAACGTGCATCCTACGAAGAAGGAAGTGCACTTCTTGAATGAGGAGGCTATCACAGAGCGCATCGCCGACGAGATGCAAGCCTTGCTCGCCTCGGTCGGCGAACGGACGTTTGAGTATCAAGTCTGTGGTCCATTCTACAATCACACGGTCATTAAACTGACTTGATCGCTAGACTCTACTCACTGGTGGCGTAGCTGAGAATAAGAATGCGCACTCCAAGCTGTACACTAAGGGTAAAGAGAAGGAGCGGAATTCATCGCAGGACGACATACAGGGTTCTGATTTACCCAAGCCCGCTCCAAAGGACCGCCAGATACTCTCGCAATACAAAGTACGAACGTCAGCCGCAGATCGTACACTGGACTCTATGTTCCCAGCACCCTCGCGTACTCAGAGTGGCGGCGGCGCTGTTCCTTCCGAACCGTCTACACCCGGTGTGCGCAAGATGTGGATACAGGAAAGCTCAGTAAGACTGGATCAACTTACCAGTCTGCGTAGGAGGGTGATTAAGAATCGACACGCACGTGCGGACTCTCCCTCATGAAGGTATTCAACTCGGGTGCTCATAAATCCGCAGAGTTGCTCGAGATCATTCAGAACCATACGTTTGTCAGCGTTGTGGACCTCGAGCGCGAACTGAGTTTGATCCAGCATTCGACCAAGCTGTATCTCGTCAGCCATGGTGCGCTATGGTAAGAACTTTTTACACGTATAGCGAACAGCCTCTCATGGTGAGCCTTAGCGAGGAACTCTTCTATCAACTCGGATTACGCCAGTTCGGCAACCTGCCTCGCTTGAAGCTCGATCCCCCGCCCTCTCTTCGTGTGCTCATATCCTTCGCTGTTGACGCTGAGAAGGGCACTGAAGCGAGCGGGATGAGCAAGGAGGAGATTGTTGATGTATGCTTTTGCTTTCCCGTTCCGTCACCTGTTTCTGAATGTTAGACAGGTGCTTGAGGAGATGGTCATCTCCCGACGTGACATGCTAGGTTCATTCTTTTCTGTATGCATATCAGAGGAGGGCTTGGTTGAGGCGGTTCCACTCTTGCTTCCGTCGGTGTTGCCGAACCTAGATAAACTACCTCTATTCCTCATGCGCTTGGGGCCACAAGTCAGTACTTACACGGTCCTTTACGTCTCACGACTGACCTTGGCGGTTTATAGGTTGAATGGCAAGATGAACAGAATTGTTACGACAACTTACTTCGAGAGATCGCTCACTTGTACTCTCCCGGTCCGGGTATTCTCGGTGAATCTGGTATTGGTGAGGAAGACGTAGAAGAACGCGAACAGGCCACAGCGGCAGAAAAGTGGCAGATCCAACACACGCTCTTTCCGGCCATGAGACAATATCTCCTACCACCAGGGTCATTGCTTGACCGCGACTTCGTGCAGGTCGCGAACCTACCTGACCTATACCATGTTTTCGAGCGGTGTTAGAAGCTAGTCTTGTTTATTTCTTGCTGTGTACGCATCGTTGCTCTGATTGTCGCTGTGCCATAATGCTTTCTCACTGTACTGTGTCATGTCCTATATGCTCTGTGTCCATTATCCAAACCGTTTCCGCAGTCCGTCGTATATCCAGAATATTACTGCACTACTGGGCACGCTCCGTGCGATAGTGATTCCACAACCGGCATACAACCCGCGGAAGCCCTGCGCGCGCCACAGCTCTCGACCGACCACTATGAAGTTTCTTCCCTTCTGACCCTTCAAATCCGGCCGCAGTTCTTCCTCCGTCTGCATGGTACTCTTGATTGTATCGGCAGGGAAGAAGGCAAGATTATACATGGCACCCGCGCATGCCCCAGAGAACGCGCTCTCCCAAGCTGCGAGGTCGCCGCCTGGTTTCGCCCCGCGTCGCGCCAGTAGCTTCTGCGCAACGTACTCTTTGCAAAGAAACCATGCGCCGCTTCCGCCCGTCTCGCGCACCAGTGTCGCGACCTGACCAAGCCATAACCCGCGTACACCCGACGACCTGACGACTTCTTTCAAAACTGCCAATGGACCAGGAAGCGCCGCTGCATTTGCGGCAGAAACGCCAGTTGCCGGTGCTCCGACAAGCATTTGAACTTGCATCTTGCATTTGATAAGCTCTATAGGTGTGCTATAGAGGGATATGAGCGCGCATTCTACCTGCGCTCAAAACTATGAGTAAGACGTACAGTACGAAGCTGGTGACAGCGCCTGCGCCTGCCGCTGCGATCCCAAGTTGCGGAAGCGATAGTGATTGACCAGGGAGTAGGCCGAATGCATCGCGTACGACGCCCTGAATCTCGCTGTAGGCGAGAAAAAGCGTCGCGTTCTCTGCCATTGCACCGACTACCGGAGCCGGTAAACCCTGCGCACATGCGAGTACCGCCTCAGCCTTTCGCGAAAACCGCGCAAGAGACACCGAGTGCGCACCCGGTACAGCCCGCGTATGCCTTCATTCCGGTACGTCTGCGTAAGGCAGTCTAGAGGACCGGAAAAGCGCGCTTGGGCGTCGAGGACCTGGGATTGAAGGCGGACTTTGGTAAGGTCGAACGGGTGTTCGATGAATTTTGAGACTACTCCAGCAACCTGCACGAGCGAAATGGGTAAGAATATGCACGAACGATAGTATGCAAATGCCGCACGCTCCCAAACGCGATATCCTTGGCTGCGCGCACCGCGGGCGTGCCTCGCTCACTTGCGGGCAATTCGGGCACGGACTGTGCCATCTTCGAGTACGACGGGCGGTATTAGACCCGAACAGAGTGGGTATAGACTAAGTCTAGAGAGTTACAGGTTCTGAGAGTAGATGGAGCAGAATAGAAACTAGCACAGCCAGGGCATGCGCAATGGACGCCGGGGCTGAAACTGCAGACGCGTCTACGCGCCGCGTCTTGACTAAAGGTCATGTGTAGCGTGTCGTAAGTCTAGAAGATAAGATGGATCAAAAGATTGTTTGGCAGGCCACTCGCGATGCACCGTGACTGAACACGGACGTCTCTAGCTAGCTCTAGCTCGTAAACTGTGAATATCCAAGTCGTGCTGCAGTTTAGAATGACGTCTGCTACATAGCCACGTACTGTAACCGCAGTTCTTTGCGCGAAGATCTTCTTCCAAATGAACACCCTCAAATCTGCTTCACGCGATAAACACGAGGCGATTTACAGTTGAGGCACATCAACGCCCTCGGCGGCTCCTGCCCGGCGAGCACCACCTCGCAGACGCCGATGATGTACATGTTCATCTTGTCCTTTTCGAGCCAAACGCTCTTCTTTCTGCCTGTGACCTCGACTGCCTCACCGCATGCTCGAGGCGGCAACCGGTGCCCTTGTCTAGACCAACTGTATACTTAAAGTCGTCTGTGGAACTTCAAAGAACTCTTCCAAGACCCGCTATTCCGCCCTGTAACGCCCATATCTGTTCTGTATGTTCGGCGCAAAGACTTGTTGGGCGACAGCGGCACTAGCGATTGCCGCTGCGTCTCAAGTGAGCGCATACGACCTCGTACGGAGCTATGAAGGTAGCACCTTCTTCGATCGGTGGGAATGGTTCGGAAACTGGGATAATTTGACACTCGGTGCGTACCACGCCACAACGTTCTTGGGTGTTCCGCCAAGAAAGTGTATGGCCATGAGCTCATGTGGGCGCAGGGGATGTGTGGTGGCTCGGCCAGCAGGATGCCATGAACCAAGGTCTGGCATACGTCGATAACAGCGGACATGCCATTATCAAGGTCGATAATACATCGAACGTCGCGTTCAACGAGAAGCGCAATACCGTGCGCATCACCTCGTCAGACTCGTACGGGGTGGGCAGCCTTTGGATCATCGACCTGTTGCATTTGCCATACGGTTGCTCGGTGTGGCCTGCGTTTTGGACGAAGGTGCGATACTCCTTTCGTGATGATTCGTTAGCTGACTGGTAAGATGACTTCAGGGACCAACTTGGCCAGACAATGGAGAGATTGGTGCGCGAATCGCGGACTCGCTTGCTCACGAGCATCTTTGTTCTAACACTGTGGTGCACTGCAGATATCATTGAAGGCATCAACCTCAATCAGGAGTGCGTATCGGCCATATTGCTGCTCCATCTCCCCAGACTGGCTGATGTCTATCTGAAGCAATCAATACGCGTTACATAGTCAGTCACCAGACCTGTTCTCATTCCCATACTCCAACGCTGATGTCCCATCAGCCACAGCGGGATGTGCGGCCCAGTCCGGCGTCATCCAGACCGGCGTCGCTGGTCAAGGTGACTGCTCCCAGCCTAGCGGCTGCACGGTCACAGAGTCTCAGCAGAACAGCTATCGGGAGGGCTTTGCCGCGGCGGGTGGAGGAGTATGGGCTACGCAGTTCGACGTCGCTGGGATCTTCATCTGGTTCTGGTCAAGAGAGAACGTGCCGGCGTCGATACAGCAATCAACCTCCACATCTAGCATCGACGTATCCGACTTCGGAGTGCCCTCTGCCGCCTTTCCAGTTTCGGCTTGCAACATCCCCCAGTTCTTTACCGCGCAAAATTTGGTGATAGGTATGCTTCCATGATTCTATTCTGTACTCAATACGCTCAACGCTATCAGACATCACGTTGTGTGGAAATTGGTGCGCTCAACTACGATCACCCTTTCATTCAAGTATGCTGACTTGGCGCTGCATAGGGCCGGAATCCCCTCGCTCTATCAAGCACAGTGCTTAAACGCCGGGACCACCGGAACATGTTACCAGGATAACGTCGTCGGCCCGGGCTCGCCCAAGTACGATGAGGCCTACTTCGAGATCGACTTCCTTCGAGCCTACACGACCGGCGGACCAGCACCCACGCCTGCGAGCGCCGGCATAGAACTCGGCTCAACCGTGGTCGCCACGTACACAAGCATCCCAACGCCGACCACTGCGACGACCGCAGTGCCGTCTGGTCTCGACACTTCTCCGAACGGCTCTATATCCGCGGCCTCACGCGGCGCGGAGTGGGCATGGGGAACTCAGGCGCTCGCCGCGGTGGGTAGTGCCCTACTGCTCTTACACTCGACGCTCTGACGCAGACCTTTACAAACCTCTTCCTGGCCTTCCCGGACCTTTCCCCGTTCCATCTTCTACTTTACGCCCCGACCGCTTACCCATCATACCCGTCGGACATGCTTCTGATGTTCTCTGCTCGGACAGGACTTCCTTGAGATGACACAGGCGCTTTATGCCGCGCCGGCGCAGTGTGCGCTGAAACCCAAACCCTAATGTTTGACGCTCTAACGAATATTGGTCGTGATTACTGCATTCCCTTTGTATACTACGTCTCTCTGACTGTTAGACTACCTTGCATATGACCTGAATGTTCCCTCCTCATATTCTGTTTGGTATATTTTTGCGGCTTTGGCATACGAAGAAAGCCCCTGGAGCGGATCTTCGCGGCCATAATCGCCTATAGGATACGTAGGAGCACGTGGACTGGTAAGCCGGAGTGTGAGCCTACATCTACTTGTATTGGGAACGTGATGTAGCGTTTTGGAAGAGTGAAGTGCCGCCAACAATGGCCGCCTCCGCAAGAAGGTCACCGGCTCCGGTGACTCGCACGCTTCGAACGCGTAGACTCCCGCGCGGGACCGTCTCGGTTACTGGGTTTCCCTCTTCTCCCCATCTCTCCACCTGGGGGACACTATAAATTTACACTCCTGGCTAGCTGTGCTTGCTCTGTCTTGACTGGACGGCATCCAAGACTTGAATAGAACAGGGTGCTTGCTTGGGTGACGCGCCCCTGCACGGACATTAATTGGAATTCTACTACCGAGCTACCGTAATAGGCAGTCTTACGGCGTTCCTCGCTTTCGAGCCAATATAACCGCACGTATCTGCACGGTCTTCTGTTGTCTTCTCGTATCGTCGCGGGGACTCGTCGCTTGCCGCGCCTGCCCGCGAGACCCGATCTAAGCGCCCGTACCGCCCGGTCGTATTTGCAACGCGTTGCAGTATGCTGCCCACCATGACCGCTCAACTCCAGCACCAGTACGCTGTATTGCTCCCAGACTTCTTATAACATCTGTTGACCACGATAAATGCATAGCCGCCCAACGGTCGGTCGAAAGCCGCGCACATTCGAGGAGAGTCTTGCCCATGCCGCGCCTCCGCGTGACTTGACATGTGCAGTTAAGACAGACCCAGTACGCACTAGTAGCTCTGGTCACTGTTACAAGCTCACCTCCAGCCCAGGCATTTGTACCGAAACCGTCTACACGCGTATTCTGCCAGGCATTCATGCGAGGCCTTTGCCCAAATGGTCCCGCCTGCTATCTCGTGCATCCTCCTGTTGACAACATAGTACGTCCTTCATTTCTGCCGCACGTCCGTTTCTGATGTTCACACTCGAAGGTTGCTGCTATTGATGAGCTTCAACGACATGATTACCTGCAGGGCAGTGTCAACAAATATTGGTGCGAAAGGGGAGCAATGAAGGTAGAGCCAAATTTCTTTTGAGGTACACGCCACAGGTGCACGCCACTGACTTGCATCCCCCAGGATGCCCACCCGAGAACTCAAACATCTCGCCAGATCTGTATCAGATTCTTGAGCGATCGCTGTACATATGGAAATGATTGTGTACATGCACATTTTCTACCTTGGATTCTGCGCGGGATCGTCGAGCCAGACCATTCGCCATTTGTGATGCGCTCGAACAAGGGAAAATCCAAGGCAGTTGCGCTGGACGCGCCGACTTCAGTAACCACGACACTTCAAGCGCCCATTGTACGCGTGTGAAACACTCCCTTGGGAAATATGGACTGAACGATGTATAGATTGCTCAATCTGATCAGGAAACGGGTGGTATCATGTACGAAACCCCGCTCACCGTGGCGAGCAAACCAGATGACGTACGTCCCGCTTAGTACATAAATCAGTGCAAATTGTCCTGATGCCACAATTTAGCCACCTTTATCTTCCCCGATGCCTTCAACTTACGAGGACAGCTCCGAGACCTCGTCAGAGCTCTCCAGTAACGACATGTCCGATGAAGAATCGTTTCATACCGGACATAGCCCAGGCTCGGAAGCCACACCCTCGTTGCCTGAAGACGCACCCAGACTTTCACTACCAATATCGAAGACGGTCACTCCGCTCTGTTTTGACTTCTATCGTACAGGAATTTGTCGTTTTCAACGTGGACGATGTCGGTATCGGCATGAACGCCCATCCGTTCTTACTGTCACTCCTGCCGCTGCTGCCACTGCGGCGGTCTCGAGACCTCAACCGCTACCAGACAGTCTCTCGCCACCGTCACCCACACCGATGATTCCTCCCGAGTCTTTTCCTCCTTTATTCGTTCAATCTGTCCTATCGCCTTCTTCACTTCCTGCCCTCCGAAACGCAAATAATCCACCAACCCTAGACACAGGCCAACCAGAGCCTGACCCCAACCTTTGTCAACGCTCCATCCTTCTTCGGACCATCAACTACTCGGACTCTGGCGCAAAAGCATCAGCATCTGATATACCTCCCGATGTCTGCCCAAACTGGTATCGTCACGGCGCCTGTAGGACGCATTGTTGCAAGTTTGTGCACTCGTTGCCTGAAGTTGACACGCGCATACACGTGCGATTACCTACCACGCAAAGGCCTACTCGTTCATCTTATGAGGTCCGTCTGTAAAACTCTCGGGAACATTGCCTGCTCACCCCATGTAGACTTCGCTATCGGAACGGTGGCGACTTATGAACACCGACGGGTCAGCTCGTGCATCTTGCGATTCGTCTCGACCCATGGCTCTTCCCTCGCCTCTTCCCTCGCCTATTCCCTCGGAAGTAAATGCACAGCGCACTCCAGTGAGTCGTTGGAGAGCTTGCCGGCATACTTGATAGACTGATCCCACATCCAGGTTACTCTTCATATTCAGCAATCGGGCATTGTTAGCGACCGCAAGCCCCCTTCGGGTGTCTGCTATTACTGGTTCAACGATCGTGCATGTCCGCACCGACATCCATGTCAGTTCCGCCATGACCTACCCGCAAATGCAATACGCATGCCCGGACAGCGCGACCAGATTGTGCCGCCCGTCACTCTTGGAGTCAATCCTCAGCATGTGGTTCAGACCAACCGCGCGATGCTCCCATTTATGCCGCCCGTGATTAACGGTGCCAAGCAAGGTCATTCACCCTCTGCAAGAACCCTCGTCAAATCCGATCAATCACGTGCTGCTCCATCTACTTCTGCGCGGCAGCCTCAGGCTCAGCTTCAAACACGACCTCAGCTGCAAAGTCGCGTCACACTTGCAGAGTCCTCGAGCTCTGTCCAGCACCCGGCGACGGCTTCTCATTCTCGTGTATCTCAGTGTGGCGTCACGTCGAGCATCGCCCCATCGGCGCCCCCAGGCCTCCCCGAGCTAAAGCCTTCTGTTGAGGAGGAGTACTGTAAGGAGGGCCTCTTCACGCCCGAACAGGCAGCGCCCACCAATACACATGTTTCATCAACTACCGTCAGTCGTTGTTGATGAGAGAGGGCGAGCATGAATTGACGACCTTGTACAGGATCGATTCATGCGTGATAATGCTTCGCTCGCGATTCTGAAAAAGTCGCAGGGTTCCAGACCTCGCGGGCCGTCTTACCCTCCCGAGATGTCACACGTTATGCACGACCACATCAAGATCACGCTAGGTCCCGGCTTCATAGTGCCGACTGTCACGACGCAGAATGAGACGCGTTCGTTGATCATAGGGAACCTACCTCGTGCGACTGCGAAGGAACCCCTCACGCACCTCATTGAAAGCTTCGGTGGCACAGTCTCTGATCTCACTATGCCTGACCCAGTCAGTAGCGGGGAAGAAGGGCCCGTCGCCGTGCGAGTCCAGATGAGCTCTCATCTCGAGGCGGTCGCTGTCGCCAATGGACTCGACGGCATGAAAGCTCTGCGCAGTGAAGGGGCTCTCTCTGTGCGCCCTACTTTGCATCGCGCGGCGGTCAAGTCGCAGGTTTCGGACTCGGAGATCCGAATATCTTGGAGGTTGCCCACGATCAGCCTCTACGCGGGATTCGGCTCTCTCGAAGCTGCACGAAAAGCTGTTGCCGCCGCTGACGGGTATGACTGGGATGGCTACTGGATCACCGCGTCCGTCTACGATGGTTTCCCGGTCGTTGGCGAACACAACGTACGCTTTAGTGGCCTTCCGCCTGACGTCAAGCACAAGCTCGTCCGCAAGCGATTTCACTGTGGAAAGGGGGACCTCAACACTGATAAGCCCACGCAAGCCCTGCGCGATTTCGGGATACCGCAAGTGGAGAAACGCGTCAAAGACTTCGGACCTGTCGTCGACTTCCACGTGGCTCCGTCGCCGTATAAGGATGGTATCGTCAGGGCATGGTGCCGGTTCGAGACCTCTGACATCGCGGGCGTGGCGCGCGAGCTCAATGGCATTCCACAAGTCAGTCTAGACTACCGAAAGCTCACCGTGTGGCGGATACACTCCCTGAAGTACCCGATAAATCGCAACGTGTATGGCTACATCGGCGAGGAGATCAAGAATCTCCGTGAGGCGACGTGGCGTTTCCGCCGAGGCTGCAACATCCGCATCTTTGATCGCGACGCGTGGCAGGATAAAGTTACCATCGAGATCAGCGCCGAAGACAGTAAAAGTCTGCAGGAAATTAGGGCACGACTCGTTGACATCGCGCAAGGCAGGATCATCATGGACGGCAACGTCCCGCTCTGGGATCGGTTCTTTTCCACGTCTTTCGGCACGGAGTGGATGAACACTATTCGTAAAGCCAACCCAACGGTCTTAATCATCATCCGCAAGCTTCAGGCTTTCATCCGTGTTATTGGCGCCCCGGAAAAGCGCTCAGGCGTCATCGCTACTATACGCGAACACGTCGCTTCTCTGCGAGGCCAACCGGTCCATACCGTACCACTCCCCGGCTCGCACTTTGGACTTTTCATGCATCCTGCTCTCCTCGCAGCGCGGGAAAGGCATGGCACTGATAACCTCTGGCTTGATATCCAACACCGTCAGCTCTGCGTCCGCGGCGACGAGACGATGTATAAGGACGTTCAGTCAGCCGTGCACACTGCCATGAAAGCTCACCCGCGACACCTTCCGCGCGACCGCTGTCCTGTATGCTTCGACATCCCGACGTCGCCGGTTGTTCTGTCATGCGGGGACACGTATTGCACAGACTGTCTTGCGAGCTATTTGGCTGCTGGTACCGAAACGCGACAATTTCCGCTGGTGTGCTTCGGCGCCGATGGGAAGTGCAAGGAGCCCATTCCGCTCGTGGTCGCGCGAGACGTTTTACGGCCTGCGCAGTGGGAGCAACTCATCGCTGCTGCATTCAATGCCCACATAGCGGCCAGGCCGGACGAGTTTCGCTTCTGCCCCACGCCGGATTGCCAGCAGGTCTATCGCCCCGGGGCGAAGGACAGTGTTTACAGCTGTCCGGCGTGCTTGGTTCGCATCTGCCCATACTGTGATGTTGAATACCATGAGGGCATCACCTGCGATGACCGCACACACAAGATCGACAGCGCATTTGACGAGTACGTTCGCACGCATGAAGTAAAGCAATGTCCAGGTTGCAAGGCGCCCATTGAACGGGCGGAGGGGTGTAACCATATGACGTGCACGCGCTGCCATACACATACATGCTGGGAGTGTATGGAGACATTCGACAAGGGCATCGGCATTTATGATCACATGCGCGAGGCTCACGGGAGTATAGGGGTGTAGTGGCCGTTCGTCAGGCCTGATTGCTATCATTCTCGTGGATTGTATATTGTACTATTGCTTTTCTTATGCTTATGTATTCGTGAGGCTGCGTGCTCCCTTGTACTTTACGTTCTCAGTGGCTTATCTGTACTATATCGCAGCGCTCCATACATCAATGTACCCGTATATGCGCTACTCGCCATGTTTCTAGTTCACCCGTCCACCTTACTCGATCGTTTCGGCTTGAAAGCGCGCGGCTCTAGGGCACAAACAGAATGTCTATCAAGCAAAATTTCGCAAAGGCAGTATAATAGTACATGTATATTGGTCGTAAATGGGGGAAAAAACCCGTCTTGAAGAGACTGGAGCCAGTATACCACAGCAGGGGTGAGATGACATCGTCGTGGGGTACATGAAGTCGGAGAAGAGATGCAAGACATGCGATGCAGACGGCAGACTCTTATACATAGCTTACAGACACAAACAAGCGAGATCCTAAGTTCCACAATTTCGAGGCGTGAGTCAAATAGTCCGATTGCGATATGCCGAGACGAGGGACTATGAATAATACTGGATGTACTAGGGGGTACGTTAGTATCTACTTCGGGGTCGTATGCGAGGCGTGTACTCACTTGGTCGTACTGAGCGCTGCCGTTGGCAAGCTCCTGATAGCGCGGGTCCTTGGCCTCTTTGCCATGGTGATTGCGGAAGTGGCGGTCGCCATCGGGATAGCGATCGAGCTCAGACGGGTACTGGCGGCCGTACGGCGCGCGAACAATGTACCCCTCAGGCGTCAAATAATCGCCACGACGGTTCCAATATCCACGACGAACACGCGGAGCGGCGCTTCTCGACGAAGTCTGGGCTGCGGACGGACGGTACGGTGTGGGTGTAGCCGAGTACTGAGCAGTATGCGCGGCCGTCTGGCCACCCGAGTTAGAGCGCTGGGCCTGTTGCGGCGTTGGTGTGGCGTTGGTGTGATAGTGGTTTGTCGCAGCCGCGGTCGCGGTGTTACGTGTCGGCGTCGAGTATTTGGTCGTCGATGCCGCGGCCATCTCGCCGGATGTCTGACGATGACGCGACTGCTGGTGAGCGGCGGCGGCGGCGCTGGCAGACGAGACAGGCTGCGTCGTGGCCGGCACTGCTGGATTACCGGAGTGCGAGCGCGAATGCGTTGAGTAGCCGTTCGGTTGGGTACTATGGCCGTAGCGCGGGTCTTGATATGTCGCCGCGGCTGCGCTCGCCTGTGCGGATGCAGAACTCGTAGGCTGAGTAGCGCCTGGTGTCCCAGCTGGAGTAGCCGCAGGTGTAGGATACGAATAAGCCTGAGTGGGCGGAGTAGCTTTCGCCGGAGTAGTATTCGCATAAACTTGAGGCGATGGAGTCTTCGCGCGAGCCGAGCTATACTGCTGAGCATGGGTCGAGGCGCTTTGGTACTGAGGCTGCGCTTGTGCGTACTGCGCCGACGTCTGGGAGTACTGGGGCTGCTGAGAGGCCGAGCGATGATGCGACTGGGGTTGAGAGACCGCCGGTACAGTCTGGGCAGGAACCTGGTGCGACGCGCTTCGAGTATGACTCTGGGATGACTGCTGAACCTGTCCCGGATGGTACGCCTGAGGAGGTGTATGATTCGTTGTCGCCTGTTGTTGCTGTTGAGCCGGGGCATACGGTACTGACGGGAAGGTTGGTCGATTTGGCGATGGTTGGAGACTAGGCGGGTTTGATCCGCGCGTAGATGATGGTGTGCGTTGACGAGCCGACGCAGGCGTACCATAGCGCGAGGAGTTAGGTGTGCTCTGGTGTGATACTGACTGCGATATAGGGCTGGGGACGAAGCCACTGTCCCCCGACTTTGAGCGCTCGACGCTATTGGGTGACGTGTAGTAACCGTTCGTAGGACTCGTCGGTTGTCTCGAGCTCGCACGCCTTCCTCCACTCTCGCGTGCACGTGAACGGTCGCGCTCACGATCGCCATACCGACCGCGTTCGCGTTCACTGCGTTCACGGTAACTTCGCTCGCGATCACTTTCCCGCTGCTCTCGTTCCCGATCGCGCTCCTTCTCGCGCTCCCTCTCTCTCGGGCTCGGCCGTATACGATTCCGCTCCGTGTGATACCCGTCCTCCCGATCACTCTCCCTTTCCTGCTCGCGGGACTGAGAAGCCTGAGTCTGAACCTGAGCCACCTGAGCTTGAGCTTGAGCCGCATGAGCCTGGTCACGACGGTACGGATCCCCGAAGCTGGGCTGCCTCTGTGTCTCCTGATCGCGACCGTGACTCCCGCGTCCAGTGGGCTGCACACTGGGCTCGCGCCTTCGGTCCAGAGGCTGAGCGCTAGGCTCCCGCCTGCGATCTGTAGGCTGCATGCTCGGCTCGCGGCTAACAGCGCGGCTGCCACTCGGTTCCCTGCTGACGGCTGGATGTTCTCTGTCCACACTGGGCCGACGCCCGTCCATGCCGTTCATGGCTACGACACCATTAGTGGTGTTCCTGTGTGGTGTCCTGGCTCCCGCATGACTGGCGTCAGCATAGTCGACGCTCGGTCGTCGACTTGGAGCCGCAGATGAAGATGCTGATTGCGGTTCGTCTCGGACGGTGCTTCCGGCACTGACTGTTGAGCTCCCCGAGCTTGAGGAGCTACTGGAGAATAATGATGGGTTCGAGTCGAGCAGTGGACTGAGCATGCCCGCGGCGCCAGGCTCATCGGCAAAGTGTTGCAACTTGGTGAACGCAGTGCCGATCTTCGGCTTCGTGGCATGTGCTCTCTCAGTCGAGTCTGAGCCCGAGTCGACCGTGAAGCGTCGCATCGGCGCGCGTTCGGCTGGCCCTGCGGCGGGCATCGAGCTGTGCTGACCGAGCGGGCGCGTATTGCTCTGACTCTGTGCGGTGGGCATCGAACTATGCTGCCCGACGCGTTGTGGCTGCGCCGAGCTCGCATGCGCGACGGGCTGTGCTGCAACATCCGGCATAGTCTGCGATCGTCCCACAGCGCGATTACTGCTCGTGCTCAACCCAGCCGACGCCGATGCGCGCGGTGTGTCACCACCCTCGCCCTTCCGACGGGGGTAATCCGCAGGAGTGCGCACGATACCAGGCGAAAACGTCGTGCGTAGCTCGCGCGCTTCGGCCTGTTCCTTCGACTCGCGCTCTCCGGGTCGCGACGCTACGGGGGCCGGCAACGTGTGTGAGCGCTGCATATCGCGGGCATGCAATTGCTGAGATTGAGAAGTGCTGCCATTCGGCCTCGAGGCGTCCGCGGGGCGGGTAGACGCCGCGGCTTGGCCGGACGCGGAGTTGTGCGCCGAAGGCCTAGATGCGCTTGAATAGCCGTTCGTCTGCGCTGACCGCGATACATCTGTCTGCTGTGCGGCAGCCTGTGCTGATGCTGATGTACCAGCGCCGCCTGGTGCCATCCGCGCCGCGTTCTCCCGAGCGCGGCGCGATGCGGGGTCCTCAACTGGCAAGATCGTCTCCTCCCTCGCCTTTGATTGAGATGATGAAGCGCCTGCGGCCTTCTGGGCGTGAAAGGCTTCGCGATGCTGTGCAAGGGCTTGTGCACGATCGGCAGACCTCGAAGACGAAGAAGACGCTTGACGCCCGTCATCTTCGCCGGGCAGAGCAGGTTCCCAGACCCAAGGTGTCGGAGGCGGAGGTTTGTGCGCGCGTGTCGCTCCGGTTTCCCGCGGTCCGTCGAATGGGGAGGATCTGTGAAAAGTGAGGTCAGCGCGAACTCATAGGGAAGACGAAGAAGGTGAGGACGAGCATGCACGAGAAACAACGTAAACAGACGTCAGATGGCGAGGGGTCGGAAGGCTTTGAAGCTAACGAGTGACGAGTGGCGCCTACAAGGCGAACATAGATGGGGGCGGAGATTCGTATCGATGCGGCACATGCGGCGTGGCACGAAGTCTACAGAAGGAAAGCCAGCATGGTCACGGTTCCTCGCCATCGACAAGGGAGCCACAAGCGGACATCCCATCACGTACAATACGGAAAATGAAAGCACGTAGGTAACGGGCGACGTACTTCGCGGGATTGTCCATGTTCTCGAGCTTGAGGCCATTATCGGAAATTGCGGTGGCCCAGTAGGATGGGTCCTTGGGCTTGTGCACCTTGTTCGATGGATAATAGTGCTGGGGGACACCCCAGCTGGACGCGACGTTGTAGCCTACGTCCTGAGGTGGAGCGGCAGCCGCCTTGGCCGGCCCTGCGCCTGTATATCTCCACTTGCCCTGCTGCCAGCGTTGTGGATCGACACCTGGAGGCGCAGCAGCTGGAGCCGGGTAGGACGGGTATGACTGGTTGGACGCAGCCGAGGTTGGTGTGGGATTGGCCGAGGCATATGACGGCTGGGCGTAGTGCTGCTGAGATTGCGCAGCGTACGAGTATGCGGGGACTGGTGCGGGCTGCTGTGCAGCGTAGTAGGCTGGTTGAGCAGGTTGTGTTGGATATGCATGGTGTGTCGGGTATGCGCGGGGGTCGACTGGTCGGTGAACTTGGGGCGCGTACATTGACGTTCAAGCATGTGAGAGTCGTATAATCGTAGATGGTGGCAGATCGAGAGCAGGCGCCAGGCCGAGATAATGAGGGTTTGAAGCAAGAAACGGATTGTAGAACGAATTCGGGAACAAGAAGATGTAGAAAGCGAGAGCTGGAGCACTGACCAACTCAGGACCAGGTGCAGTGCCCTCCCGCGACTCGTTCAGACTCCAAACGCCGGATCTGGGCCGACAGTGACCAACTTGACGCAGCAGATGCGCGGCAGTACAGAAGAAGGGACTAGAATAATCCGGCGATTGCTACAGAGACAACAGGCAGAAGGGGTACAGACAGCTCAGAGCCTCGAGCGGCGTGGTCGTGGTTCGTCCGCTCATGTCCTCGCCGCGCCCATGTTGGAAGTTCTCAGGCCTGAAGCTGGATTCACGTTCACGCTTCGGGGCGCAGTCCCTCCGATCGGGTCATCCGACTCGTACGTACCCCCGAACGTACGAGATATATGGCCTCCAGACCCCCCTTTACGAGGGCATCGTGAATAGGCGGACTGCCTGATGGCTTAATAAAAAGTTATTGACCACCGCAGGGGTCGAACCTGCAATCTCCTGATTACACGATCGTAGTCAGACGCGATGCCATTTCGCCAGGCGGCCTTGTTGGTAAAAATGTTTGAGGTATATAGATATAGCATAGATCTCAGCTTAGCCATTTCGGGTACCATATTCAAGGCCGCTTCATTTGGTTCCTATCGCGTATACAATACCACGATGGCTCAAGACCATACAGTTTGTGTGGGATGACCTGATTCCTGATTACATCGAAAACAAATCAGATCAAGGCACTCTTATCTACTACAAGATCGCCCGTAGTAACCCTTGCCACCCTTGAAGGAGCTGTAGGTACAACACCAAGTGAAGTCGTAGCGCCTAGCACCCTGACACGAGTACCAACACGTTCACAGGCATCCTCCAGATCCCTCAAACGACGAGTGTCCTCATCGTCAAGCTCTCGGGTCCCCGGAGTAACTGCACCCATCGGTCCGTCATCGGGAAACGATCCCTCAGACTCCACGATATGAACTCGCACGTCAGCGAACGTGCATGCCTCTGGCGCATCTTCCATAAACATCGCCAGCTCATCCACGACGTCTTCAAAGTCCATCACTTCGCACTCCATATCCAGCTGGAGCGGGGCCTGAACCTGAGCTGTGGCAAGTGACCCGAGCGTGGAGGGTATAAGCATAGGCGAGACGCTAGAGGTCATGCGCGCGCTAGATAGGTGCGGGAGACATAGAGCGCCGGACGGAAGAGTCGGAATGCCAGCGCCGAGGGCAAGATGTGTTAGGCGCGGGCCAGCGCGCTCGAGGATGTGTCCATGCCACTCCGCGTTCTGTTCGGGTGAAGTGTGGGTGTAGGCGCCGAGCTCAAGGTGTTCCAAGGTCCCAGAGGTAGCTAGGTCAGGGCTGGAGAAGAGCGGATCACCCAGGTGTGTATCGTGAATGGCGAGGTGGCGCAGGGTGGGGATGGAGAAGAGGGCCGGGAGGCGGTGCGTTGGTGTTGCGTGCTCATCGAGGATCGCGGGGAAGAGCTCGTATGATGATGTATACGCCGACGCGTATTCATCGGGGTGCATGGTACGTGTGATCCGGGTGAGCGAAAGCTCCTCCAGCTTCGGGATCGCCAAGGCAATGGCTGTCACGACGCTCTCGCTCCTGCGAGTATCGTCAGTACATAGATTCACACAAGCACGGCGTAACTAGTGCCTTACAGTGGTGCATTCTCCTCGTCATCACAGTTTTCGATCTTCAAGGAGATAAGATCATCAAGTCCTTTGAAACTCGGCGCAATCTTTGGGTGCAATCCCTCGGATACACGCAAGGTCAGGCGCTGAATCTGCGGGGTACGTGCTAAAAGCTCGATCAAGGCATCGGTCCGGGGCGAGCTTGTGGATTTGGAGGTAGATGCGAGCGGCTCCGTATCGTTTCCAAACGGCAGGATCGCTCCCTGGGTGCAAACATCCAACTGGCGAATGAAACGCCCGTACGAATGGGGTACATTCGTCAGAAAGGCCTGGAGGCCGTGAAACGACCGGATGGCTACTGCCTGCATGGGGAAAAGAGACGTCATGTCAGCCCAAAGCTCGAGAAGAACACTGTCCCGCTACTAACCTGGAATATGCGGGGCATAGTGAGAGCACGACTGGCTTTCGACACAGTCGATAACGGCACAACATCATCAACATCGAGGTGGTCGAGGACGGCAAGATGGAGCTCAGCAGGCAAAGAAGACCATTTGAAAGCCATTGTGTTCAGTAGGTGGGTAGTGTCTGAGAGAGAGGGGTTGGGAGTTGCTGAGAACACATGCCGAGTCGTGGCTGATATATACCGACGCACAGGCGAGGACCCGATGGACACGGCGTCGGCGGATGGCAGGCGCGCGTGGATTACTGAGCCGAGCCTCTAGCCCTGAGGATTGACGCCGGAGCACTCCTCGCGCCACCAGAATCTGAAAGATCCTTGATCTCTTTCCAGGCTCGGTAGACCTGTTGCAGTTGATATGTCCTGGTCCCCGTAGTGGGCGGGATAGGAAGGCTTGATCAGTTCGACATGACCGCGGGAGAAGAGAAGCATGATCTCAACATTTCCCCAGGCCCCGCACGCGGCGGACGAACTTCCAAGCATCGCGCCCGAACTTGACGCAGACCGCCATGTCTTTTCACCGGCTACGTCTGTGTACTCGTACGCCCAGTACCTGTTTGGAATAAACACACGAATGATACTGCTAGGAACCACCATCGAGACTGACGTGTCGCAGAGATTTTCCTACTCAGATTGAATCACCGCCACTGCCATTTCGACCTGTCAGCAGCCTGCGCGCTCTCCAGTCCATCTGACTGTCGTGTACAGTCATTTAACGACTGAATACCGGCCGGAGGACTTTCCGTACGCTTCTATCTCACTCGGGACTGCTACGTTACGGTCTTGAGATCATTCTACGTGTATACCGCTCGTGCGTTGTTTACCGTGAACATTCCCGGCCGGTGTGTCAACAACGCGGCTCCGAATCGTTGCCCTAGAGAACTTGTTCCATATCTCACTTGGCGTGTTTTGACTGGGATGGGAACATGAAGTGAGGATCTTAGGCATGTCATGGTTTACATTGCTTTGAGCGGCATTGTATATCAAATTGACGGAGCGCCAGTGGGACGACTCGGGACGACTCGGTTAACCTGGACCCCGGACAACTTGTGAGACAAAGTGCTAGCCCTAGCTGCGCTGAGTCTCGTACCCACAGCTTCTGTCAGTATTCTCTCACTGCCATGAATCAATGAACTGCATTCCACCTCAACAATGCTCCGGTAGGTCGGTGAACGTATACACCGATCATCTACTGCACCAACGTGTTGACCTTCACCATGCGACACCTGATATCTATGCCTACGACGCTACCAGTACTTGTGGTGAAATAGCACCAGCCGTCATACTGACGGCGCAAAAGGGGTGCACGGCCAACCTGTATCACCTGGCTCGTGAGTTGGGGTTCACCGCGCATTCCAGCTTCGTCTTCGTTGGTACCTTCGCCACTAGACCTGAAGTTCTTGTGGCAGACGTCAATTCAGAGCAAGTAGCGTCAGATCACCAGCCCTAATCCCAACAGCGATGGGACCCAAGAGTATCTTATCGATAATGCTCGGCGAGCTCGGTGAAGCTGCATTCCCCATCGTTCCTACAGCAGGCGCGTATCTTCAGAGGTGCGGATCGATCTGTCGTGCTCTCATTGCTACGGTTTAGTCTTCATGGCGACGTGCACTCGGTAGGTCCAACAGCGGGATATTCGGTGAGCTCGATAGGATTGGCAATTGTATCTCGGCCATTTCGGAGCGGCGTGGTACTTGCTGAACGAGTGCATAGTCTCGCTTCAAGTTGCTGTATGGCATAGCCTCTGGGTCAACGATGCGCTGATCGACAATGGACGCTCTCGCTCTGCGTGGCAGAATGTTCGGCACTCGGGATGCTCATCGACGAACCTGGATCACAGTCGCTTTCATCTAGCAATGCACTAGCCCAAGCTGTGTTAGACCTCGTCCGCATACGTTATAGCCATACTCACTGCGACAGCACCTCCCACTGTCGTCTCTTACAGCTCCGCTCAATGTAAGGCCCGACTCGTCCTCAAGTTGCCGCCGGTGCGGTATCCGTGTTCGTCGGATGCATCCTGACAATGTACTGCGTAGGTCTTTGTGGGTCCTCATGTACACAGCCCCGAGCAGTTCGGACCTGATCGTCTCCTGCTCTTCTTAGCTTTCGATATCCTAGGAGAACAGCGACCCGGTGTACTTCGTGATGCTCATCTTTGACAAGTACACGATTATCATTCTACCGGTCAAGATTTGATTCTGGATTGACGCTCATGACGGACAAATAAACCGACGAACGCGGCCTGGACTGCATGCGCGGCCGAATAGGCGATGTCAGTGTTCGTATTGGTGGCTGCACTGAGGGCACGGAGTACGTTGTATCATTTGTCATGGAGAGCTGCTATGTTTGTACACGTAAATCATCCGCATTGTTCGTCTTGTTCTGGGCTCTGCGGCAGGAGACCCGAGTTCTCCGCCTGTCGAGGACGCATTAGTGTACTCTGAGCGTTATTTGATGGGCGTAGTCGGGCCAACGTCCCTCGAAACGTCAACGAAAGCAAGTTTAGAGTGAGGACTCGTTGTGCTCCGGATCCGAGGTGTGGCCGTGGGGTGGCCCGCGAACACGAGGAGCATGGCAAGTGCCGAGCAACTATACAGATCCACGGTCACGTTGCATCTCGCGCTCGACCGACCGATCGACGAACTCAGGTTCCCCGTCGACGTCCTGCACCCTCCCCACTCCCCGTCCCATTCCTCCCCACACAATGGTCCGTATCTACAGGCGATGCTTTGCTGAGTCCCCTTCTCAGTAGGCTAGCCTGTCTAACCTCCATGTAGGCCCCCAAGACCGCCACGAAGTCCAACATCAAGACGAAGCACGTCGTCGACTTCTCCCGCCCCGCAGGCGACGGTCTCTTCGACGGTGCCGCGTTTGAGAAGTACCTCCACGACCGTATCAAGGTCGATGGAAAGCCCGGCCAGCTCGGGGACAAAATTAAGATTCACCGCGACGGTGCGTTCATGGCACTTCTATCTATTGTATTTGGACCGGAGTCGCTGATTGGCCTGTGCGAATTGTAGGCAGCAAGCAGGTCACTGTGACCGCTACTATCCCGTTCTCGAAGCGCTACCTCAAGTACCTCACCAAGAAGTTCCTCAAGAAGCAGACTCTGTCCGAGTTCTTGCATCCTGTTGCGACCACCAAGGAGGGCTTTGTCATCAAGTACTATAACATTGCGTGCGTTTCATCTTGTCTTCTCGTCCGCATGTGCATCTTTTTCTGAAACGCTACTGTAGCGACCCCAATGAGGAGGATGACGACGACGAGTAGACGTCTCCTTGTGTCCGCCGTCCGGGATCTTTCATTAGTTTCACTTCGCTGTGCTCCTTGCTGTGTACTATCTGTTGCAATTGTATCACCACGCATTGTTCTGGGAACACGCTGCGTGGAGCCTTGCGAGAGATCTTCTGAGCTACCAGTCGCGTGAGAGTTTGGTTCGGTCTACTCCTATACCGATACAGCAGTTTCTCTAGCTGTTTCACTGAGCGCTGGGTACACCGTCTTCTCCTCACCCGACGCACGGTGCTCGCATCTTGTTATCTTATTCGTACCGACAAGCCCTTCACGATTCGCTGTAAGTGTACCGCGGCGGCCGCAGCAATGTCGACATGCCGCGGGTGAGAAGGTTTCTTGTACAGTCCGCGAAGAAGCCGAACGCAATCAGTCTTCCGCATTGCCAATTGGAAATCTCGTCCACCCTGCGAGGGTCACGCAGACGCTCGGGCAGAGGCTGTATATGGGCAAAGACGGGCGTTCGAGAGAAAGAAGCGTTGCTGTCAGAGTTCGCCGGGGTGATGGACGGGCTGTAAGAAATGAGGCAAACATATTGGTGACATAAAGGAGCCACGCGGGATCAGAACGGAGTTTAGTGTGAGGGTGAGCTGCACAAGTACGAGCTGCGAACGGGGCTGTCTGAGCAGGAATGCAAGCCTCTGCCGGAGACCGCCACCAGGACTGAACGGCCCGCCTGCCAGTGAGCGTCCGCTGGACGCGCCTCGACCCGAGCATATATCGGCATCAAAACGGTCTTGTACCTTGCTTTATCTCCGCTTTCCTAGCTTGTCTGCTCTCTGATGTCCCGACCCCGCGCGCGCACACACTCCTCGCCGCACGACCCGCTCTCCGCGGCCATCGCCCCGCCCCCGGACGAGTCCGATGACGCCAGGCAGGAGCGCCTCGCCGCGGAGGCCGCCGCCCAGCAGGTATCCGAGCAGATCGACCAGCAGATCGAGCGCGACAGGCAAGCACTCAAGAAGGCACCCAAATCAGTCAAGCTATTACTTCTCGGTGCGTTCCTCGTCTTAGCGCCTATGGTCCAGTATTAATTCGTGTACACAGGCCAGAGTGAATCAGGTACGGGTGCTAGCGCACGCAGCACGCACACGCTCATGGGTGCTCAGGAAAATCAACAACGCTCAAGAACTTCCAGCTCATGGCTTCGCCCAAGGGTCCGTCTCGATTATTTATGTGAATTGTTGATGTGTGACTGAGGGCAGTGATTGCAGCGTTCAAGCACGAACGTGCGATCTGGCGGGCAGTGATCCAGCTCAACGTCGTGCGCTCGATCCACCTCATCCTCGCTTTCATCGGAGAGGCACAGGCGGCGTCACAGACACATTCCCCGCCATTCAGACCTTCGGGACTTCCCGACGCATCACCGCCACCCGTCGAGCCCGCATCACCAAAGCTTACGCCCGAGCTCCTGCGCTTGCGCATCCGTCTGTCCCCGCTCGTGCAGGTCGAGGAGGCGCTCGTACGCAAACTCCAGCTTTCCAGTGGACAGGAGAACGCCGTGGCTGCCCGCGTGAACGAGAATTCTGGTCTGCCGCGCGAGCTTGCCGTACACTCTGCAAGCGGATGGAAGGGTAACTTTGTCGCGCGGATGCTCAGCAAACGTTCGAGTTCGGACGACGACGACGAGGGCGGCGGGATCAATTGGGACGACCCGGATGATCCTGGCCGTGTCATTCATGCCTGTCGCGACGACATGATCCATCTTTGGGAAGATCCGCTCGTCAAGCAGCTGCTTGAAACAAGAGGGTTCCGACTACAGGAGATGTCGGGCTTGTGGGTCGTGTGATGATTATTTCTGGGTGACCGCTGACTATAGATCTCAAGCTTCCTCGACTCGCTCGACCGCGTCGCCTCCGAACGCTTTGTACCGAC